TTGTCTTCCTTGTTGAGCTCAGTCCAATAGATGGCAGCCTCTGCTAACTTTTCAATCTCTAACCCCCATGTTTCAATAGGGTCTTGGATTCGTATCAGGACTTGAGTGGATCAGGGTTTAGGTGTGACATTCTAGTTTGCAGTTATGACTACAGGACCGGTCCATTTTTTCTAAATCCTTTTTCATGTCATGCTTTAGTCCACTGATGGACCCCCTGCCAATAGTGCTGAAAACCAGGAAACATGATGTATATAGTATGAATATGGAGGAATCTTAAGAAACCATTCCTCTTCTTGAAAAGCCAAACAAAATGAAATAAAAGCCGGTACCCTGGCATCACATTGAAGACTTGTGAGTAAATACAGATCCAGGGCTTGAGCATCCAAACAGGCAGATTTGAATTGTGGCATTCAGATAGACAGAGGAGTAAAAGGAAAGGTAGAAAAAGAGAGATGGGTGAACAGGCTTTCAGGCGATCAGACAGATGTCCTAGCAGTTGGGCAGCAGAAATATTGGTATTGATTTCTTCTCTCTGATCCTCCCTGTAAACCACATCAAAGGTTTAGAGCAGGCCAGAGAGGACAGAAACAGAAACATAACATTTGCTCAGCCTTTTCTCCCCCTTCACTTTTTTGCCCTGCAAGGTCTGCAGGAAAACATGTAGATAAAGAGACAGAAATGCTGCTGTGGGTCACTCTATCTCTGAGACTGTCCTGTTCTTTGTGTCTTGATCCAAAAGCTCAGCAGTGATGCGATGAGTCAAATCACCCCAAACAGCTCCTCTTACAGATTATTGAACCATTTTTAAAATTATTATCCGGTCAACTCTAGGATAGTAAGCTGACCACTCTTTCGGTCTCATTTCTTTCATTAGTTTCTTCCATTTTGAGCAAATGTATATGATTAAAGGAGAACATGTGTCATGTCTAAGTGTGTATGTTTGAATGTGACCATGTTTGTCTTCTGTACAGCTGTCAAGACTGAAGTCTGTGCCATGATTGTGTTTGACTGAACTGAACAACACAAAGAGAAACACCCCATTTATACTGTTTGAATAACTATTTGCTCAACTCAAAAAGAAGTATTCTAATATTTTGGAATGTGTATTTGTAATGTTTTTACGCTTTAGGCTATTATTATCGAGAAAAAAAAGGCAGAAAAAAAAATGGACACACTTAAATGTACATGTAATAAATCCAGAAAGCCTGTTATAAACAACCGTAAACTTTCAACTTTTTTTATTTTAATATTTAGATGAATTACTGCTAAAATTATGACTCCATCAATACTTATACTTACATGAGCCTACTTCATTAAATTAAAAAAAACACAATTTGCAGGGAAAAAATCTCACTGAATTTTAACATTTTACCCCATAAAAGCATGAATGTGCTGTCTTTTTATCAAAAAAAAGAACACAATTCTTTCAGCAACACACTAGAAAAAATGCAACATTTTACCTTGACAATTTTCACAGAAATACAATGAATTTTAGCATCCTATTTAGATTAATTTTGTGATTAAACAATAGTAAGAAACTTTCTATTTTATGCTGTTCCATTTTATGGTGTCTTCATCAAAATGTGTGGTTGATGTGTGGGACACTGCACTGGCAGGGAGTCATTGTTTGCATTATATTTCAGCCCCTCTCCCTACTCAGATTTTTTTCTCTTTTGCTCATGAGCCCTGTGCAATGGCATAGATAGGGGCCCACTGACTGCCCATTGAGAGTGTACAGGGCCCAGAATTTGGTGCTACGCCTGGTTTCAGCCCACCTGGAATAAAAACAACATCAAGATTATTTCATAGCACTTACTGTCCTTTGAGTGAATAAGATTTAAGATCAAGAATTTAAATGTGTTGATCATTTGGAGCTGCAGAGGTGAGGTGTGAAAACCTCTAACCTGTGTCAGGTCTGAGCGTTAGATGTCATGAATGTTGATATCCTCTGCTTGTTGTAAGAAGGCATGTCATTTATTAAACACCTTGGGCTAACAATGTGAAAGCACAACCATTTATGTGTGACGACTGACAGTTGTGACTGCTGGCCACAAATTCTGATGGATGCCAGGGGAAAGTAGGTGAGCCGGCCAGCATCAGCATTCCACTTCATTAGTTGTTTCCCACAATCACGATAACAGAAGAAGCAGTGTTTTCCTGCAGGGTGCAGCTAATTAGCTCATGATGCAGCTAGCCTCTTTTTATGCATTTTAGCTTTCCAAGGTTGTCAGCAAGAGGCAGAGCAGCATGCTGAGGAGCCCAAATGTCTCTGGTTTCAAATCCAAGTTTAGCTCTGAAGTCTGGGCAGGAAAACAAAATTAAGAAATAGAGTGAGCTGTTCATGAGCAAGGCATCTGAAAACAAGTCTGACTTCTCAACTCAGCCTCGGTTTTGACTTTATGTCAAAGGAACACATTTAGCTCTGGAGTTCCTTTAGCCTGGAGAGCACATTGGAGAAATGTTTGTCATTTCATGACTCAGTGACTGTATTTGCATTTTAAAGAATAGATGTGTTGAGAAATGTACTCCTTGTTGGATTTAACAAAAAAAGTGGATAAACTTAGTCACTGGGAGGTAAACTGGCACAAAACTGGGAACACCTTACAGCCTAAAGAATCAGGAAACACTGGATTTTAACTTGAATGAAGAACCACATTAAGAAACTATCAAACGCTAAAGTATAAGCTGTATAATTTTAAGCAAACCAGAACATCTTTGACTGAGAGTGCTACCCTTATGTTCCTACATTCATCCTATATTGCCTACTGCATAACCACATGGCCACACTCTGAAACCTGTTGACTCTCTGAGAAGAAAGGCTTTGGAAATGTTAGACAAGAAACTGACTGTGAGTTCCACCTAGACGAACCACGTTAAGTCAGAATGCTGTGTCGTTCAAAGGGAGTACATTAGGGACCAGCTGACCTCTCTCAGTCAGGGGATTCTTCAGTCCTGCAACTTTCAAGGTTCGGGAAACAAACCAGAATTTGACCATGTGTAACCTTTTAACTGATGCATAACTTAACTTAATGCAATAACATGAACAATAAAACGTAATGACTTAAAACTTTAATCTTTAAAACTTAAAGGGATACCCCAGCTTAAATTTAAATTATGGTCAAACACACAGTAACACAGAGTTAGACAACCCCTCGAGAGATGAATGTTGGCAACTGCTTGCTTCTTTAGTTATACCAACTTCAGCAACGACCGCAGGATAGCAATGCACAGCGGTCTATGCCTATATGCAGTAGCAGTTCTTGGCACGGGCGAACAGGGCAGCATTTGTGTCATGACTCATGGGGGGCGGCACGAGCACTTCCAAAAAAATAAAATAAAAGATAATAATGACAATAAATCTGTGCCGCAAAGCAGTTTTGTATTAACTCTTGTTGTCAAATTGGTGCCCCCCTGCTGCTGTAGTCGCCTCTGCTTGCTGAGAAGGTACTGCACAGAGGCTGACAGACTGTATGAGACGAAGCAGGGAGGGGGTCGCGGGGGACAGCTCTGCTCTCAGGATTGCTCTCACTCTGCCAGTCATGGTGGCTCAGGCAGAGAGGAGCTTCTCAAAACTGAAGTTGATAAAGTCATACCTAAGGTCAACCATGTCTCAGGAACGGCCCCTCGGCCTTGCCGTCATTAGCATCAATCACTTAACCCATTTATACCGGGACAGTATGTCCGCATATCAGCCTTCCAAGCCGGGAGCGCGGATACGTTATTTTGTAACATTCTGTAGTTTTTTAATCATTTCTGGAGTGGTGGCAACTCAGATCACCATACCCGTCTGCCTCTGATAGGCTAATAAAGCGATTGGATTCATGCTCAGATCTTGCTATGTGCGTCGTGAGGAAAGTAAACAATGACAGGCAGAGAGCAGCTTTGGAGGAGAAACATCCTGCAGTGTGAACAACCTCTTCATACTGAGGTCTTTGGCTCACACTATCGGCGATTTCTGTGACTTTGGGTGAGCACAGAGATGAACAAACTGTCAACCACGTATTTATTTATTAATTTTTTAGTGCTGTTTTTGTACTGACACTATACTAGGACAGCTGTATACCCTTTCAACACTTTATTTTTTATATCTACATTTGAATTAAATTGACACTTTATCATGACTGCCACTTGTTTTACAGAAAGCAAACAGTTTCTTATTCTGACTCCTCTTCCTGACTGGTGAGCGTGCGCATTGCATTGCAACATTTCCTTCCTTGCTGTTGAACTGTGTGTAGCGTTTTGTTCCTCCTGATAGCTTTCTTGCTGTTTGGGTTATTTTCTCTCTTTAATCTATCAATACATCTGTTTGTTTAAAAGTCTGTAAGTATATCTGATAGTTTTCACCAAGCACCGTCTTTATCTCAATTCTGGGTGATCTCTCTGGTGGTTTACTTTACTAGCTCTTAGCTTCTCTTAGCTTCACTTGCTAACGATGGCTTCCCCCCAGTCTCCTGGTTCTCCTGCTCGCTTCTGCTCAGTGTGTCAGATGTTTAGTTACTCCTCGTCCTCCCTAGATGATAACGATACCTGCTTTAAGTGTAGTTTATTCTTAGCTCTGGAGGTGAGGATTACACAGTTGGAAAAGCGGCTCCACACTGATGCTAGAGTAGTGGTAGCCAGCCAGGACCCGGTAGCTGGTGCGGGTCGACCTAGCTTAGCTTCCCCCCCGGCAGATCCCAAGCAGCCAGGATGTAGTAGTGGTTGGGTCACTGTGAAAGGGAAGCATAGCAGCAGGCCTAAGAAGCCCACGTTAGACCACCATATTCACATTTCAAACATATTTGCCCCTCTCAGCAACACACCTGCTGAGCCCGACGCTCTTGTAATTGGAGACTCTGTAGTCCGAAATGTGAAATTAGCAAAGTCAGTGGCCATAGTTCAGTGTCTCCCAGGGAGCAGAGCGGGCAACATTGAAGGTAGTTTAAAACTGCTGGCAAAGGTTAAGCATAAATTCCGTAAGATTGTAATACATGTCGGCGTTAATGACTCCCGGCGCCGCCAGTTAGAAGTCACTAAATTGAACATGCAATCGGTGTGTGAATATGCCAAAACCATGTCGGACTCCATAGTTTTCTCTGGTCCCCTGCCCGATCAGACAACTGATGAGATGTGTAGCCGTATCTCATCATTCAACCGCTGGCTGTCAAGGTGGTGTGCGTAAAACGGCGTGGGCTTCATTGATAATTGGAAGTCGTTTTGGGGCAAGCCTGGTCTGATTAGTCGGGACGGCATTCATCCCACTCGAGATGGAGCGGCCCGTTTATCCAGAAATCTGGCCAATTCTATTAATCTGAATCACTGACAACTCAGAGCAGAGCTCAGGGAGCAGGGCCGCAGTCCTGCACACCCCCCTGTATGCCCCCCTGCACCTCCTTTAGAGCAGCTTCCCAGCCACTGTCACTTATATACAGAGACAAGGGAGTAGAGCCGCAGTCTTACACGCCCCTCTGTACTCCCTTTGGAGCAGCCTCCTAGCTACAATCAGTTTGATATAGAGATCAGGGAGCAGAACTGCAGTCCTACATGCATCCTCTGTACTCCCTTCAGAGCAGCTTCCTAGCTACAATCAGTTTGATATAGAGATCAGGGAGCATAGCCGCAGTTTTACACATTCCTCTGCACTTTTTGTTAGAGCAGCCTCCTCAGCTACTGTCACTTTAATATAGAGACTCTGTCTGTCCCTCATCCTCGGCTCTTTAATTCTAACTGATCGATTAACACAGGAGAAAATAACAAGAACCTTACTAGAATTAAAACTGCTAACATTGCTGAACCGAGTAGTAGTAAGATTAAATGTGGTCTACTGAACATAAGGTCTCTAAGTTCCAAATCTGTGTTAATAAATGAACTAATCTCTGATCATCGCATTGATTTACTCTCCCTAACCGAAACTTGGCTGCATCAGGATGAATATGTCAGTTTAAATGAATCCACTCCTCCTAGCCACCTCAGCTTTCACATTCCTCGGGACTCTGGCCGAGGTGGTGGAGTTGCAGCTATTTACAATTTCAAGACCAAAACTGAATTGTAACTCTTTTGAAAGTCTTGTTCTCAGTCTTCCGCATCCAGCCATTTATTTTTATTTTTTTTGTTGTTGTTGTTGCTTTTCTGTTTGAGGAAAACGGATGGAAATTAGCCTTAGCTAACTCCGGCTGGTTTACAATGAGAATAGACATACATATTTCTTGTATCATGTCTTCTTCTCTTTGTCCATGAACTGGTACTGTCCTGTCTAAATAAATAAAATACATAAATAAATAAATACCACTGGTATTCACTATAGTTTATCGCCCTCCCAGCCCATACTCAGCGTTTTTGTCAGAATTCTCAGAGTCCTTCGTGCAGACAAAGTCATTATCGTTGATGACTTTAATATTCATGTGGATGTGGAAAATGATAGCCTAAGCATTTCTTTCTTGTCCTTTCTAGACTCAATTGGGTTTACACAGTGTGTACATGGACCTATGCACTGCTTTAACCACACCCTCGATCGTGTCCTGGCTTACGGCCTTGAAGCTGAAGCCTTGCCAGTAGGCTTATTAAATCCTCTTTTATCGGATCACTTTCTAGTAACTTTTGAATTTGTGCTTTTAGGCTACTCTCCCCATAACAAAACCGTGCAAACTAGAAGGTTGTCTGAAAATGCTGTGACTAAGTTCAAGGAGGCAATTCTGTCTGCTCTTAATTCTGTGCTTGAGAAGAACTTCGCTGATAGCTCATACTTGAACATCAGTCCCTTGCAACTTGATCAGTTCGTCGATGATACCTCAGGCACATTGCGATCAATTCTTGACTCAGTTGCTCCACTTAGACAGAAAACTCTTACTCTCTTACTCTTTCCCTTTTACATGCTTCCTCTGGGTAAAATTACGAGGAAGTACTCGATTAATTTCTACTGCTATGCAGATGACACCCAGTTATACTTATCCATGAAGCCAGAAGAAGCAAACCAGGTTACCAAATTAGAAGCTTGTCTCAAAGATATAAAATCCTGGATGACCAATAACTTTCAGACAAAACTGAAGTTCTTGTCCTCGGTCCTAAACACCTTAGAGAGGCATTTTCTAATAATAAAGCTACGCTAGATGGCATCAGTCTGGCATCCAGCCCCACTGTGCGAAATCTAGGAGTTTTATTTGATCAGGATTTGTCCTTTAGCTCCCACATCCAACAAATCGGTAGGATAGCTTTTTTCCACCTGCGCAATATCTCAAAAATTAGACCCATCCTGTCTCAGAGTGATGCAGAAAAACTAGTCCATGCCTTTGTTACCTCTAGGCTGGATTACTGTAATTCTCTCTTATCAGGCTGCTCCAGTGAGTCTTTAAGGACTCTTTAGCTGGTCTAAAATGCAGCAGCTCGGGTATTGACTAGAACCAGAAGAAAGGAGCACATCTCTCCTGTCTTAGCCTCTCTTCATTGGCTCCGTATTAAATCTAGAATTGAGTTTAAAATCCTCCTTACGACATATAAAGCGCTTAATGGCCAGGCTCCATCATATCTCAACGAGCTTGTTATACCTTACTTTCCGTCTCAACCGTTACGCTCACAGTCTGCAGGCCTGCTTGTTGTATCTAAAAGTAGTATTGGAGGAAGAGCTTTCAGCTACCAGGCACCTCTCCTCTGGAATCATTTACTGCTCGAGGTTTGGGGGGCAGACACCCTCTCAACTTTCAAGAGTAGACTTAAAACATTTTTCTTTGATAAAGCTTATAGTTGGGGCTGATTTGAACCAGCTCTTAGTTATGCTGCTATAGGTTTAGACTGCCGGGGTTATCTGGCACACTGAGCTAGAGTCTGTCTCTATCGCTCCTTTCGATCTTTATGTCCCATATAAGTCACTAACCAGATTTCTCTCTCTCTGAGTGTCTCTGAGTCTCTTAGCTTCCACTGGACTAATGCTGCAGACAGCCTGCTGCAGAACTGCCTGACCCCAGCTGCATCGTCCTTGATTGTTAACCTTAGGCCCTGAGCTCCTCCATCTCTTAGGCTCCTCTGGACCATTGCTGCAGACACGTACGTCAGCCTAACTGACATCTATAAAATAAAACTTGAGTTTTAACTTTAATTACCTTAAATTGATTTAGCATAGTCCATAATTAGTTACTTCATTATCCTGTACATTGAAGTCATTTTCTCCCATCAAATTGCTAACCAGATCTCTCTGTATGTCTCTGAGCCCCCCAGTCTCCTAGGTTGCTCTGGACTGATGGCTGCTGCAGACCTGCCTGACTCGAGCCGCATCGTCTATGATTGTCTGCCTCAGGCCCTGAGCTCCTTCTTCTCTTGGATTCCTCTGGACTGTTACTGCAGACATAAACATCAGCCTCACTGACAATAACATAAAACTAGAGTTGACTACTATTAGGCCTGCTGACTGTAATCACATTTAATTAATTTAACATTGTCCATAATTACTTATATCCTAACCCTGTAAACTGAATTCATTTTGTTTCACCATTACATGAGCTGTTGTTGTTGTTGCTGTTGTTTCTGCTGTCCCCTGTCTCTCTCTTACCATCGTTCTCTACTCTCTCTCCCTCCCCCTCCCTCTCTCGCCCTTACTCATTCTCTCTCTCCTTCCCCTTATCTTGTTCTTTTTCTCTCCCCCTGCCCTCTCCCCTCTTCTCTCTCTCTTTCTCCTCTCTCTCCCTCCATCTCTCTACATTCCTCCCCAACCCAGCAGCGGCATGGTGGCTGTTTGGCATGAGTTGGGTCCTGTCCAAGGTTTCTGCCTGTTAAAAGGAAGTTTTTCCTTGCCACTGCTACTCATGTTAGATGAGATGGGCCAAAACCCATCTTAGGTTGGTTCCTGATCATCAAACAATGAGCGTGGTCTAGACCTGCTTCTGTTCTTTGAAAAGCATCTTGAGATGACGACTGTTGTGAATTGGTGCTATATAAATAAAATTTAATTGATTTGATTGATTGATTGATTGATTGATTGATTGATTGATTGATTATTCTCCAGTGCAGAGTCTTTACTTTTATTTATACAGCCGCTTTATTTAATTTAAGTTTGTTTGTTCAAGGTATTTAATAATGTGTTGAAAGTTTGGACAAATAAAAGATAGTTATCTTGAAAGCCACACGTGTAACGGGGGCCCTTCTCAAAATGGCCCTCAGGATTTCAGAGGCGTGGTTCAGACAGGGTTCAGGTCTTAATGGGTTAATAGGGGAGCAGATTTCTTATGATGAGATTATTGATGATTTTGCATCAAGGAAGGCAGGAAAGGTCAGGTTTTAGTTTTAGTTTGTGTTTCCTGTGATAGAACAATCACATTTTCTTGAGTGTGTTTCTTGAGTGTGTCAAATTTGTGTGATTTGCTATGTAAGATGATTAGTCCATATTTTATTTAATATTTTATATTATTCTTCTCTTCTCATACTGTCTTGTTACATTTGTTGTTAAATATTTGCCACTCTTATGTATATAGTGTATATTTATTATTTAAGCTCTGATAACCTGTTTTGTGCAGAATTGCTCCATTGTCTTTTGCAATGTTGGAGGTGGAGAATATGCATCTTAAAAAGTGTCTTTGCTGATGTAATAACTGGATTTTCTGGAAGTGTTCTGTAAATGCTCTATTGAAGGATTTGTGCAATTGAGAAATCGGGGAGTAATTTAGTCTAGAACCACCACTGTCTCCATGCACAAGCCTCAACCAAAAAGCCACTCTATAGCCACAAAAAATGCTCAGAACTGTTTTTTAGGTGGTTGAGTTAAATTTCTGGTTTATTTTTCAAAACCACATCCATGTCTTGGGTAACATGGATTTGATTGTAACCCAATTTGAGGGTTATTTGAATGGGTTAATAAATATGGTTTATTTTTCTGAGAGTAACCCAATCATTTATATATATATACTGTATATATTTGGGTAGCTGCCCCAGTATGTCTTGGGCTGCTGGGTAGCTTAGCGGGTAGAGTATCCAATTCCCAACTTGGGGGTTGGGGTCCAAACCACAGACTATACAGTATATCCTACAGTCAGCAAGGAAGCAGACTCTGTCCATTCTTTATTCAGTCTATGGTCCAAACCCGCATGAGACACATCTGTAAGAAGCAAAGTAAATCTACCCGTGTGGGCCCTTAAGCAAGACCCTTAGGGCTATGGCCTACCTCATAAACATGAGTGTGTACCTTTGAAAGCCACACCGGCTCAGATGGTACAGGTTGTGAAAGCAAATCTCCCCAAATGCATATATCAATTTAACCCAAGATCATGAGTCAAATTAACTTGAAGATTGGGTTAACTTGACCCTGAAAAGAGTTACTGAGTCAACCCAAAATTTGGGTTAACTTGAATAACCCAACATTCTGGGTCAAAATAACCCAATAAGTAGTCGGTCCCTTTTCAATCCTGGTGCACTCTTATAACCCAGGGGTTATAAGAGTGTATAGGGCCCCAGCCATAGCACTAGCAATCAAATGTCTGTTTTGTGTGTGTGTGTGTGTGTGTGTGTGTGTGTGTGTGTGTGTGTGTGTGTGTGTGTGTGTGTGTGAGAAGGGGGGGGGGGGGGGGGGGTTGAAGGTGTCTCCAAGATGAATTTAATAGTATACACAGGAACCATCGACCTGTGTGTACAACTCTACAGTCTCAACTGATCTCAGCGAGTGACCAAGATGGAATGGGAAACAGATTATTGACAGTTCTTGCAATTTTGCCTTAGCATTTTAGGCATCACAAACAAACATGTTAAAAATGACAGAGCACACATGACAGCGAATTTTGCTTAATATGATTTTGAGCTCTTGAGGTCTTAAATACAATGGTGTGAAAACTTCAGCCCACTTTACGTCTTGTGTTTTCTCTTTTTGATTACTGTTATAAGCTTCACCTACACTCCTTCTCACTGTGTACATATCAGTTTGTTTACAGTCTCTGTCCCAATCTTTAAATCCACCCTCACAGACTCACTGAATTTGATAGTCCATGAGGGTTAACTCGTATAGTATATGAGGAGGAGTCTCTGGCAGACTTTTTAAGCCCTTTATGCTAGGGTGGCCAAAAGTCCTGTTTTCCCAGGACATGTCCTGTTTTCACATCCTGTCCTGTTTTTTTGGTTTTTTTTGTTTGTTTGTTTGTTTGTTTTTATAAAGTGATGAAAATGTCTTGGTTTTCATTGTTTTCTATTGGGCCACGAGAATGAAGAAAAAACAAAAAAACTAAGGATATAGAATTCTTTTGTTAGTTAGTTTTTGTAAGTTTGTGAAAGCTATTTTTGTTAAATTTGGATTGAGTATTTTTTTATTATTATTTATCATTCTTTTTTTTTCTATTAATACAGAAGAAACATCATTAAAAACATATCGAATTTCCCCTTGAGGATAAATTAAGATCTTATATTATCTCCTATCATTATTTCATTTTTTTTCCTTTTAACTTAACTATACCAACCTTTTTTATAATTTTCATTTTTATTCATTTTTCAAAAGGCATGGTACATGGCATATATTTCACAAGTTGTTGTTTCCAGATCACAGAAACATCAACACATTTGTAATACGATGCGATACAAAGGTAGACTCCAGTATTCGAGTCCCATAAAATAAAATAAATAGTTGCTTACATCCAGAAAAGAAAAAAAAAAGAGTCTAGTGGAAAGAGAGTTTTGTCACATCATAGAACACAAAAATATTATGGGATCACACAGTCATTTGTTATTTTTGAAACTTGTCATAATAAAACTTGTTGAGTAACCTCTAAGAAGTCTATCCGAATTCATGTCTTTGGTTATAGCTAGTATTTGGTCATATCCATACAGAGGAGGCATACTTGTATTTAAATGTATGTAGACATGTATTTAAAATTATAAGGCATCTTTGAGTAAACTATGAATATCATTTGAGTATCTCATTGTCGATAAATTTGTCCTGGTTTTTGGTAATCAAAATACACTCACCCTACTCTATGCACCCCTTCCACACGTGGGCATCTCTGCTGACTTTGCATGAGGAAATTAACCTTAGTTAATAGCAAAGTGATGTGGCCACAGGATTATCGGGAGGAAGCCGGTGAACGCAAAAGAAATGCCATAACACAGGAATGATTAAAAAAGAGTTCGTTACTATAAATAAGAAAATTAGCAAAGATTCAGGAGTAAACCTGGGTCTGGGGTGGAGGGTGCACAAAAGTTAAGTTTGTTAAGTAGAACTTGAATGCATCACATTTAGCCTGAGAGCCACTCACTGCAGAGGATTGTTTACCTCAGACTTTCAGCTTCACAAAAACAGCTGGAGACCTTGACATTAAATTTGTGTGATTTTGACTTAAGTGCTTCTTGTCTGCTCAGCACAAAGAAGTACACTTAACTCTGTTGAATTTACAGCACTTTTGTTGAAAGTTGTGCACTCAGTTAGACCTGCAAACAAAATACAGCTTTATGAGGAAAGATCTTCATAAGGAAAAAATAGATTCAAATTGATTTTTGACTTAATTATAAGATGTTGTTACCATACAATCCTTTTATCAGTTTTTAGATATTTCCTTTTCAGTGGGTTGCTCCTTGTCAAATGAGACCCTACTGAAAGTAAAGACAAGCCTTAAAGCACAAACCTTGAAGACAGAAGAGCCGAAAAACAGTTAGGCAAGATGTTCAGATATTGTAAAAATTTTTATCTCCTAAATTCTGCTACTGAGCCATACCACATATGGTATAATCTGCAAACAGTCTAATCTTTTTTTTTAAGAGTCAATGAATTAGCTTAACCTTGTTTCCATTATGCAGTCTCTATGGTGTCCTGTGCTGCAGGATGCTGAGACATTATTGTCTCTGAAAGTAAAAAAGTGTTAGGTAATAATTAGATACAGGTAACAGATTTAACAGAGATCCCTTAAATATACTTCTGAAATTTGACTGAACTTATACATCTCTTTCATATTAAGACAAATTTGTGATTAAAAAAATCTCTAAATTATTTAAAATCAAATTGAATTAAATAAATCACATCACATGTAAAAATCCAGTAGAACCTAGATCTTGTGAGTCAGATTGATTCAGATAATCAGTCTCAGTCATACGGATGTGTTAGTGCTTTCATGTCACTGGATTTTTTCTAATACTGGCTCAAGAGATTCCTAACATAAAAAGTGACACCACACTACAGTTGCAGGTTTCAAAGAGTTGGGATTTCTATGAAACTCAAAAGAGCAGGGGTAAAAATCAAACAAATCCAAACTCAAAGAACTAAAAAGGGACGCAGGTGCTGGCCAAACAGAACAAAAGAGGAACTTGGACAGCACCAGCTCACATAGGACCCCAACCTTATTCTACTTAACTACCTAAAGAAAGAAACTAAACCTAGGTAAAAGGAACAAAAACTGAAACAAGGACTACAAGCCACCTGCAACTCTTAAATAACACAATAAATCCTACCAGGTTCATATAAATATAGGAACCGAAGAAAGAAAAAGAAACTTCAAAGGGTAGGGAGATGGATTATAATTATGTCTATAATAGGATGATCTGACCAGGATAACAGCCATATTGCACATACACCAGCAGCCAATTTCACATTGACTCTTTATTTTGTCTATGGGGATAACTAACTAATTTGAAGGACTAGCTGGTAACAAATTTACCACATACATAAAGCAGCCATAAAGTTTGTTTGTGTGCAGGAAGGTGTGTGCCAAGGTACTGATAAAGGTCATGAACTTTCACTTCGGCTGTGACCCTAGGTCATATCTGAGCTCCTGCAGAGGTTGGGGTGCTGGTCATGACCTGCAGCTTTAATTATTAGTGAAGAGCAGATTTATTTCAGCTTTGAGCACAAAACTAATATAAATGTCAATATATACTTTGTAAACCTAACTTCAAAAGTTACCAAAGTGTAATGAAAATGTCAAAATACATTTAGTTTGGACAGTCATGGTCGCTTTTAACCCCTATGGCTTCATTTTCAGAGAGGCTATTATTATTGACCTGCAACTTTGTAATCTCTAGAAGCTGTGGTTTTTTATCCTGAATATATTTTTTAATTTTGTTTTCAAAGTAACACATTTATCATATAGGTTGTCTACAGACCAACCATGCAAGGCTGCTAGTAAAAAGCTTGGGTGACCTCTGGTGGTCATAGTACAACAGTGCAGCTTCAAAGTCCTCTCTGGCTGAAAGAGTTTACTTTCAGGTCTGGATTTGAATTTCCTGGAATTCCTCCTCTAATGAGGAATGAGGAAACATCTTTTTGCAAGTGTAAAAAGTTTTAGACAACAACAGGCTTCAAACTTTTCAGTTTAGTTAAAAATGACGCTGGATCCCTCGATGTAGATTATCCCTTAATACCCAGGTCTTGGGGGTCCTGCAGTCTAAAAACTGACTCTTTATTGTTAGACCTTTCCCTTCTAGTCCAGATTAACAAAAGGTCATTGTTGTGCACTTTACCCCACTATGAGTGAGGGCAACTTTTTTTAAGCTGTAGCTAAAAAATGATGCTGCATGGCTTTTGACTCGTTCAAACAGAAGTGAGTAAACAATACCTGACTTTCACTGGTCAGAAATTAGTTAGAGTTTAATGTTTTTACAACCCAGCTTAGCAAGGGGAAAGAGAAGCAACATAAAACCAGTTTGTTTGTGGTATTAAGTGTTATTTATCACAGAGAAGTAAGACTGAACCATAAAAGAAAAAGAGTGAGATAGGGTGCTGTTAGAATCAACAAATAAGGAAAACCAAAATAACCTCTAACCGAGAGTCCACATCTTTCTAAAACAAAAACCGAAATAAAACCCTGCAAACTCATGTCTAACAAAAATTAAAAACTAACAGCACCCCTAACATAGTGAGCATAACAAAAAATAATCCTTCAAGTGAATGTGCAAGTCTCAGTTTTAAACCTGGCCCATTAAAGACAAGTGCCTCACAGAGAAACAACACGAGTGGAGACACAGCTACAATTAAGAAAAGCGAATGAATGAAAAATCTCTCCACAGTCCAGCTTCTTAATACTGTGCACTTCTCCTTGATTGGTCAGGACTTCTGCTCTGCATAAATCAGCTGTGTGCTCTCAAGACTGGTCACCTAGAGGATGCACCAATCACTCAACTGCCCTCACACATTCATGGCATACACTCACATGGAGGGGGATGTGGCTGCAGCCGCAACAAATGTTTTTGAAGCCATGGTCCTGTTATTTGTGAACTTTCAACCTAGCAAGGTAACCTTGGAGCTACCTCACTCAACTTAGCGCGGTAGCCAGGCATTTTGCTAAACGGTCCTACGATGCTGGTTATCAACCTCATAAGTGGATCCAGCTTTGCTATGAGCGCGTGCACGCATGTAAGCATCTGACCAATCGTGAACATGGACCAGCCTGGAGCGTCACAGCAGGCTGGAGAGCGAAGGACTGCGGACTTTACAAACAAGGAGCAGGAGACGATCATGAGAAAGTACTTAGAATTCAAATCTATCATAAACCTCAAAAGCGTCGCTGCTGCAAAAGCACGGGAGGAATGCTAGCAGAAGACTGCCGACAGTCTCAATGTTTAAGTATAGTGCACAAAACATCTTTGATGCCATTATCACCCTAAAATAGCACTGTTCAACATGCACTTTTAACATACACCAGACATGTCTAATTCATTTCCAAAATGAATTCATTCATTTGTTCATTCCTATCGTGTTTACATTTTTTGTGTGATATGTAGGCCATATGAGCCTTTCATAAAGGTGGTCATCCAGAAAAGTAAGTGGGTCTGTGCAGTCCCTGAAAACCCTCGCACGCCAGAGTGCTCCTCGGACAATGGGAGCACAGAGGTCTACAGGATCCGCCAAGAACGAACAAGCCATTTTTCAAGAGAGCTCATTGGGGTTTTTATACTTGGTGAGTTCAATCTGGAACCTAACCTGCCCCGGAGCAGGTTAGCTGCTCAGCATATGTTGCCATGGAGACTCACCTCGCTAAGAAGTTAACCTGTGTCGTAGAACAGGAAACCCCGAACTCGAAGTTACCTCGCTAAGCAGTAATCCTGCTTCGTAGAATAGGCCCCTGTTGTGCACCTGATCACTTTTTATTTGTCTCTGGGTCTCAAATATTAATATCTTTAATGCACACAAAAGCACACGAAAAATGACTAATTTATCTGTAGTGTCTTGTTTGATATTTACAGGAAGAAGAGCGTTATGTTTGATGGAGAGTTCGCTCTGACCTGGGAGAATACTGTTAGTGTGTCACCTGAACCCAGAGGTGTCTAGTTTGTGCCTGTCATGTGTCAGAACTTTAACATGTTTGTTGTTAAGTCTAGCTGTTATCCACCACTGTCAATGACGATGAAGAGATTCGTCCATCAGTCTTACTCCTTTGTTTTGTCTTCGTGTTGCAAAAAATTGTTTATTCTTTGCAACATAATTTGCTTATTCCAGGATGTCGCAAAGGCTTCATCTTGGACCCTCAGGGAGTTTTTAACTACCAATGTCATGAGCCAGAGTTGAACCAAAAGGAAGAAGGACCCAAAAATGTAGACTCAATAAAAGATTTATTAAATGAAAGAATAAACTTGAAACAACAAAAACTTTCTTCAAAATGTCCAACTAAAAAATCCAAGGGCAAAATCCAACAAGACTCTGGGGAAAAAAAATACAAGGAGACAAAGGATTCACACATAGAGGATCATGGTGAACTGGCAGACATACACACACAATGAACCAACAAAGAAACAGGGGAAAACAGGGGCTGTTCTCAAATTTGTCTACTGCATACTCCTGCTGACCGCAGTATGCAGTACACACTGCGTACTGAGTACTGTGTTCGATAAAAGTATGCAGTATGACTGCAAGTTGGCTGTTATTATGTAGCATGCTCTGCTCAGTTCAGCTGGTTTCGGGAATGAAAAGGTACGTCGTACCCTGGTTAATTGCAATGACACTGCAGTGTTGCCCATTCATTAACGCACTGGAAAAAATCTTTTATGTGTTTTGATTTGATTTTTTCAGGATTTTTTAGCCCAATACCAGCCATCAAAATGTGTTCTGTCTATGCAATGAGTCATCGATCTGGCGGCATTTGATTCTCATCATGGCGCTGTAAATATAGCAAAGTTATGTTGTCAGTTATGTTGTCCTCATTTTCTTCTTAAATGAAGGAAGTTGCAATCCTCGCTAAACATGTTAACTGATGGCGTCTACCATAGTTTGACAACTGCAGTGAAAACCCTGTCATACAAACTCCTGTCTCCTGTCAATTTATTTCAAATACTGTCTTGGCTGCTGATTGAGTCAGACTGCTTTAATGTTTACTCACCTTTCTGCATTAAAGCTTTGGACATTGTGCATACCGTACAGTATAAAAAATGAGAAGACAGGAAAATTTCAGGCGAAGAAAATAGGACAAAAACTGTACGGTATGATAACAAAACAGTGAATTCTTGTCAGTGGTTTGCACACATAATGCTGAAAGAAAGAGGAGAAGACAGGCTGTCAGAAGGAGAAATCTTGGCTGTCCACTTAAAAAATGAATTGACTTGACTCACTTGACTTAAGCCCTTTGCTCCTCAGAGGTTGGAAAATGTTCTCCATTTCATTCTGTCTTTAGCGGTTCTTTTGAGATCTCCCCAGTTAAGCCCGCTCTCTGACATCTCTGTCGCAACGCTTCTTCTTCAGCTGTTCCTGGGGCAACCTCGTTTCCCTTTTCCTTGGGGGTTCCATTTCAGGGCTTGTCAGGTGATGTTTATTGCAGGTTTTCTGAGGGTGTGGCCTATCCAGCTCCACTTTCGCTTTCGTATTTTTCAAGTCAATGGGCTCTTGACTTGTTCTTTTCCACAGGTCCACATTACTTACTTTTTTCGCCACCAGATGTGTAAGATTTTCCTTAGGCAGGTGTTGGTGAATGTTTGCAGCCTGTGTGTTGTGTGTTTTGTTGTCCTCCGGAGGTCTGTTTCACGTAGCAGATTTAATGGAAACTCAGAGTCTGGCAATCCTGAAATCAGGGAAACTCTGAGTTTTCCATTTCACAAAGGAGGGTCAGTTAAATCAGAGAGAGAGGGGTAACTCTAACCTGTTTCACAAAGAGAGGTAACTCAACATCGTGGTGAGTTACCATTGTAACAGACTCCGTGAACCTAACCTGGGGCCTGTTCTACGAAGCAAGTTCAACCAAGCGAGGTAGCCTTGGAGCTACCTCGCTCAGCTTAGTGCAGTAGCCAGCGGTCTCGCTACACGGTTTTACGACGCTGGTTATCAACCTCGTAAGTTGATCCAGCTTTGCCATGAGCGCGTGCACGCATGTAAGGCGGAGCCCGCCGCATCTGACCAATCGCGAACATCGACAAGTCTGGAGCGTCAGAGCAGGCAGGAGAGCGAAGGACCGCAGACTTTACAAACGAGGAGCAGGAAGGAGACGATCATGAGAAAGTATGAAGAATTCAAAGCAATCACAAACCTCAAAAGCAACACCGTCGCCGCTACAAAAGCACGGAAGGCAGAAAATTTATCTTTGATGCCATTATCACCCTGAAATAGCACTGCGATCATCGAACGGGTGTGGGGGGCTCCTTTAACGGAGGCTCCTCTGCCTCCATTAAAGGTGGGGCTGCTGGGCCACCACCCGTTTTTCTGGCATCTGCCCTCTTTCTGTTTGCTGAGTGAAAGTCTAATATTGAGTGTACTGTGTGTTAGTTTAATATATATACATACACATACTGAGAGTTAGTTTAATATTCCTAATCATTTAACAGAACATCATAAGAGAGTAAAATTCATTTTTGAGTGTGAAAAGAGCATTTTGTAAGGGATCAAACTGCCACTTAATACTTACTTGACAATGTAAAACATGATCAAAATGAGAAAATGCAGATGTCTCACCTGTTTGCACAATGTTTTTATATTTCATTTTCAGCTGCTGCCAAGTGCACTTTTGTCCCGCTGGATTGCACCTACATAAAATAAATTAATTGGCTCCATGCAAGCAGTTTGCCCTGCAACAATCTGTCATTGTGATTGCACAAGACTAGATTTAAACTTACGCATTGACGCGAGCAGCAATTATATTGCACTTTCTTTTAAAAACGTGCTGTAATTTGCCGTTGGCTTGCATCAGTACTTCCAGCTCCACTTGCATAAAAAATGCTGCCCTCCTTCTCCCTGTTTCCATTGGTTGATCAATGAATCTGGGCTCCACAGATGCTGGCTGTTTATGTCTGGCGTGCACGTGCTTAACTCCAGGTCAAACTACTCAGAGTTGCTAAAACTGACTCAAATCAGGTGTTGTGAAACCAGAAACTCAGAGTTTCCTATCTCAGAGTAGATCAACTCAGAGTTAAGGATTTGACTCAGAGTTTGTTGAACCACCTACGTGAAACGGACCCCAGGTCTCCAATCCATACAACATCGCCTGCTTCACACTGGAGTTGAAGATGTGCATTTCGGTGTTTATGGAGATGTTCTTTGAGCTCCATATCTTCCTGAGCATGTTAAACACAACTCTAGCTTTGTTAATTCTGCTCTTTATGTCAGCATCTGTCCCTCCAGTGGTGTCCACAATGCTGCCTAGGTAAGTAAAAGCTTCTATTTCCTCTAAGGCAGTGTTGTTCATCAGGATAGGGTTGATGGTTTTGGCGTGGATCTTGATCACCTGTGTCTTTGCTGTATTGGGAGTGAACACAAGTTTTATTGCAGTTTGTGAGAGTCTGTCTGTCTTCTCTTGCATTTGTGTTTGTGTGTGTGAAAGGAGTACTGTGTCATCCGCTAAAACAAGATCAACCAGCTGCTCCCACATTGTCCACTGAATTCCATTTCTCCTCCCCACAATTGTTTCCTTCATGGCCCAATCGACTGCTAGGTGGAACAGGAATGGTGAAAGTAGACATCCTTTTGACCTCAAAGCTTTGGGAGAGCTGGTCTGCATGCATGACTTTGCATGAGGTTCTGTTGTATGAGTTCCTAATTAGTTTAATGATCTTAGTGGGGATTCCATAATGCTCCATTAGCTGCCATAGTGTTTCCCGGTCTAAACTGTCAAAAGCTTTCTCAAAGTCAATGAAGTTGATGTACAAGGACGTATTCCATTCAATAGACTGTTCGATGATGATGAGTAGTGTTGCAATGTGGTCTGTGCATGAGCGGTCTTTCCTGAAACCTGCTTGCTGGTCCCAGAGCCTCTTATCCACAGCTTCCTGGAGACGGTTGAGAATGACCCGATTGAAAATCTTACTGGGCACAGAAAGTAAGGTGATCCCCCGGAAGTTGTTGCATTTCCTTAGGTCACCTTTCTTTGGCAGTTTAACTATGTGTCCCTCTGCCAATTCTGTGGGTGTCTTTTCCTATTCCCAAATTTACCTAAATAGGCTATAGAGCATATCTGTGGATGTGTTTATGTCCACTTTAAGGGCTTCTGATGGAATATTGTCAGGGCCGGCAGCCTTGCCGGTTTTCTGTTGCTTGATTGCAGCTTTTATTTTGGTTTTTGTTGGTCTGTCACACTTGATTCTTAATGGTATTCTGGCCTGAGGAATATAAGGCTGTTCTTCTGGTGGTGGCCTATTCAGAACCTCCTTGAAGTGCTCTACCCATCTTTCAAGCTGTTCTTCAGGGGTTGAAAGCAATTGGCCGTTCTTGTCTGTGATGGGTTTGTTGTTGTGTCGATACATCCCAGACAGCTTCCTTGTGATGTTATACAATTCCTTCATGTTTCTTTGAGAAGCTGCAAGTTCTGCCTCCTTAGCTAACCTCTCTACCTGAGTTCTCTTGTCCCTCCTGATGTTCTGCCGCACCTCTTTATGGTACCTGTTGTACTCCTTTTGTGCCATGGCTCTTCTGCTCTTGTTCATATGTTGTTCATTTTTTTCTCTCCTCTTTTGAATTATGTTGAGGGTTTCTGGTGTTATCCGGTCCTTGTGTTTTTGTGATCTTCTCCCTAAGGCCCCCTCACATGTTGAGTTCCAAGCATCTTTTAAGTGCTTCCATTCCTCATCTATTGTCCATTCTGCCATCTCTCTTGACTGTAGCTCTGTGTTTTTCTCTATGAGTAGATCCTTAAACTGCTTCACCACTTGAGTATCACTGAGATATTTGGTGTTGTATTTCGCTCTTTGACCTTTGGCCCAGTGGTGTCTTTTCAACCTTAGCTTGAATTTCCCTACCACGAGATGGTGATCTGAGGCTGCATCTGCCCCTCTTCTTGTCTTAACGTCCTCCATGGCTCTTCTGAACTTTTTGCTGATACAGATGTGGTCAATTTGATTTTCTGTGACATGATCTAGTGACATCCAAGTTGTTTTGTGGATTGTTTTATGGGGGAATACACTACCTCCAATCACTAGATTATTGTTGACACAGGTCTCTGCAAACATCTTGCCATTCTTATTCATTGTCCCCACGCCATGTTTACCCATCACTGCCTCATATCCCTCATTTTGGCCTCCAATCTTTGCGTTAAAGTCCCCCATCAGGATAATGAGGTCTCTGGCTCCTATACTATTTAGTAGGTGGTTTAAACTGTCGTAAAACCTAGCCTTGACCTCATCATCTGCATCATTGGTAGGTGCATAACACTGGATTATGTGGGCTTTCACTCTTCTGTTGTTGGTGTTGAAGGTTGCAGAGATGAAGCGAGAATTGATGGGTTTCCATGCAGTTAGAGAATTTCTAGAGTTCTTTGTCATCATGATGGCCACTCCCTCTGTATGAATCGCTCCCTCCTCTTCATGTCCATAAAAGATGATGGACTGCCCGCTGGCCAATGTGACCTCTCCCGACTGTGTCAATCTTGTTTCTGCCAGCCCCAGGACTGAGAGATTGTAGCGCTCAATTTCTTTGGCAACAGTTGCAGCCTTGCCAGCTTGGAACATGGTCCTGATGTTCCATGTCCCCATAGGAGTAGATTTTCTTGGCATCAGAAAGTGGGTTGGCCCAACGCCCTTGCGGGTTTGGCTGGGACGGGTCATAGTCCCGAGTGCTGGGGCATCTTCCTCGACCAGGAGCATGATACGGTTTTTATTTGTCAGCGTTTCTGTAACTTGGAATTTTTTTTACAGGATGGGGACGTTACCCCCCACTCCCAACCCCCACCCTGGAGGACCAGGGACTGCTGTGTCTGCCTCCTCACCCTTGACCTGTCCGGCTTGGTTGAACCTACCGGGGGTATAAACCCCCACCGGCATAGCTCTCGGGTTCCCTGGAGTACGCAAGCCTCTCCACCACGACAAGGTGCAGTCCAGGGGCCTCATGTATCAATACTTGCGTGGAACTCATACCAGAAACGAGCGCACGCAAGGTCCGTCACGCTGAAAAAAATCCGTATGTATCAATGTGTGCGGGCGCCGAAATCCACGTGTGTTTCCTTGATAAATCCCAATCAGCGTGGAATTGAGCGCAGATGTCGGAGTGACTGGGCCCGTCCCCGTTACGCCCTCCTATAAATATGCAGATTTGTTTAAATAGGGTCTCCCTGTCCTCGCACGCAGACAAAATGACAAGAAAAACTAAATTAACGGCGTGCAAGGTGGAGGTTCTGGTGGCGGAGGTGGAGGAGCGACAGTGTGTTTTGTTTGGCAGCCTGTCCAGTGGCGTCAGTGCAAAACGTAAACGCTTGGAGTGGGAGAAAGTTTGCGAGAGGGTGAATGCGGTGGGTTCCGAGACACGCACCCCTGCGAAGATTAAAAAAAAGTGGTCGGACCTCAAGGTGGAGGTCAAGCGGCGTACAGCTGCCCTCCAGAGGAGTACTGGCCAGACAGGTGGGGGTCCGGGGGAGGAGACCCTCACACCATTTGAGCAGCGAGTGGTGGCGATTATTATTATAGGGTAAGTGGCGTGTCACACAAATGTCCACATGCTTTGTCATCCCACTGAGCAAAAGACGTATATTAGACGTCTAGTCTAAGTTTATACTTCATTTCAACGTCGGGATTCAGTCTATTTTTAGACGTGATTTATACTTCGCCCTTAACTTCATTTTTCGATAACTTTTTATGCAATAAACAACTGTAATGTGCTTAACTGACCTCTAAATACTGGATTACATTACCTATGATACCGTGGAGAGAGATGTAAACGCAACAGATACACAGAAGCAGGAATTGAAATGAACCAATATTTTTATTGTGTCACAGAAATCAATGTGTCGGCCATGTCGCCGGCTTGCAGAACCCCGGCCCGCGGCAGCCCGTCCGCCGGCTCGGAGTCGTCGGCCAGGACCAGCGGCATTCGGGCCACCCCGGCCCCAGCACCAGCACCAGCACCAGCGCGCTGACAAGCGGTGGAGCGTCCACCAGCCGCGGCGTTTCCGCTGGACCACCCGGACGCAGTGGAAGGGTCCTCGCGGAGGGGGTCCTGCAATCGCAGGAAGAAATCATCAGGGGGATCACGGGGATCAACGAGCGGCTGGACCGGCTCGTAAATGTCCTCGAGTGTCTGGAGGAGAAAATAAATTAATTTGGCTCATTGAACAACTGTGTATTCACTTCTTACCCATTCACACTGTGGCGATGAGATTCTCCCGCGCGAGGACGGCGGCCCGGCAGGGATCAGCTCACATCCCTCTGTCTGCTGCTGGTTCGTCATGTGGGGCGACGTGCTGCTCGGCCACGGGGATGTGGTGCACGCTTGCCACATAGTGAGTCACCAAACACCGCCACACAGCGTCGCCAAAGTGCAAATCACAGTCAACGCAAGTTTTTGGCTCAATGCCAATTTCTACACCACCTCCTGACTTTGCGTTGATTAGCGCTGGAACCGACGCTCGTTTCGCGATGATAAATCTGGACGTGTGCGCCGATTTTGGCGTACGCAAGGTTTTCTTGCGCCGCAAGCGTTGATACATGAGGCCCCAGGAGAGGTAAAAAATGAATGCTCGGGTGAAAAGTTTCGCTGCTCTCAGCTATTCCACCATCTGCCCAGGTGCTTTGCATTGTTGGTAACAGTAAGCGATTCAGACTGGTCTGATGCATACTGTGAAAATTTCCCGAATCAGTAGTTATCCTGGAATTTTTTACCTGGTGTATACTGTGTGCTAAATTTTGGGCAAATCAGTAGGGGAGAGTGGGGTAAGTTGAGCCACCCCCTGTTCCTTGGAAATGGTCAAAGAAATTAATCATGTGACCAAATATTTAGGAGATGGGCATCAATTCATGGAGTCTGTGAAGGTTGGAAGCACATGGATGAAGGAGTTAGACATTTATTTCCAAAAAAAATATCATTTTTCACTCTTGAAAGTGAATGTAGTCTGTCATATGTTTTAGAAGAATTGTGTTCCGACCGAAAAAGATCATTTTAAATTTGTTATATACATCAATTGGTGTATCTATGAACTACAATATGAGGTCAAAAACCTAGCATAAAAGTCCACCATTTTAGCTTAGAGGACTAATAAAGTCAAAATAGTAATTCTGGGGTAAGTTGAGCCTGAGAAACTAAAGGAGTATGATGAGAGGATCAGAGTTTGAGTTCAGATTGTTGAAATGTGTTACTTTTTCTATTCAAAAATACAGCTGTGAATGTTCTGAATCACTTAAAGACATTCTCATGTTAAAATCCTTTTTTTATAAAACAGCTTTTTAGCAGTTATATGCAATAATAGACGGCAGTGCGCACAGTTGCAGCGGCCAGGAGCTCACGGAGCTGGCACTACTTATTTATTTTGGTGGCACTTAGTATTATTTCACAGTTTTCAAATCTCGTTAAAATACAGCCGAGATGATCTCCTTATGCTCAACAACAGAGGGCCTCTACAGCTCCCGTCGGCTTTTACCATGCAAGCCGAGATCGCCAGATCACCACCGAGGACTGCCGAAGCTGCGAGCCGGCGGAGGAAACATGGCGAGCGGCTGCGGAAGAGAGGCAGACACGGGGGAACATGGGCTAGGCTGCGGGCTAATCCATTCAAACCCTCGCTTCCCACCATCTTCCTCGCGAAAGCACGTTTGATCCAGAATAAGATGGATGAAATCCGACTGGAACTAGCAACCAAGAAACACATCAGGAACTGCTGCAGCTTAATCTTCACTGAGAGCTGGTTGGATAACACCACTCCGTCGTCGGCTATCGAGTTGGATGGCTACACTGCTCACCGAGCCGACAGGACTGCTGACTCGAGTAAGAAGCTAAGCAGAGGATTATTGATCCACATCAATGACTCTTGGTGTACTAACACCACGGTTATTGATATATACTGCTGTCCCGACATGGAGTTTATGCTGCTTAAATGCAGACCCTTCCGTTTACCGCGAGAACTTTCCTCTGTTTACATTTGTGCTGTTTACATCCCCCCGGATGCAAATGCAAAGACAGCACTAGCTATACTGTAGGACACCATAAACAATTGCCTGGCAGCACACCCAGACAGTGTCTTTATCGCAGCGGGGGATTATGATCATGCTGATTTAAAGTCTGTGCTTCACTCGTGCACCATAATGTGAAGTGCGCTACCAGAGGGAGCAACACATTAGATCAGGTCTACACCAACATAGCTAAAGCCTATAGAGCCCAGGCATACCCCCACCTGGGTCTCTCTGATCATGTTTCGCTCCTACTGCACCCTCGTTATACACCTAAAATCAGATCCAACAGGCCCGAAGTCAGGTCTGTCAGGACTTGGCCTGGGGATTTCTATTTCTAAGCTCCAGGACTACTTTGATTCCACAGACTGGTACATTTTCAGGGACCAAGGAGAGCTGACGCGTGGGTCACTGAATAGTTTCGCAGACTCAGTCCTATATTATATCAACTTCTGTGTGGATGCGGTCACACACTTAAAGCAGGTCCTTGTCTTTCCTAATAACAAACCCTGGATGACACCTAAATTAAAATCTCTGGTACGAGCCAGAAATGTGGCGCTTAGATCAGAGGACACTAATGCTTACAGTGCAGCGAGGTCAGCCCTTAGGAAAAGGGGTCAGAACAGCCAAGCTGGCATATAGAGCCCATATTGAAGCCCACTTCCACAGCTCCTCAAGCCCCCGTCAGGTGTGGGAGGGGGTCAGGGCATTATCGGACTACAAGGGAAAAACAGCCCCCCCTGTCAATGGCAGCACACCCCTAGCAGAGGAACTAAATACATTCTATGCGCGCTTTGACAGGGACAACAAGGAGCCAGTGTCGCCCCCCCTCCCCTCTGACAGTACCACCATAGTCCTGAGCACCCATGAGGTCAGGCTTGGCTTATGTGGCATCAACCCCAGGAAAGCTGCGGGTCCGGATGGAGTCCAGGGACGGGTGCTCAAGGACTGTGCAGCTGAGTTGCCCCTGTCCTCACTACCATCTTTAACCTGTCTCTGGGCTCATGCTGGGTCCCTGCATGTCTCAAGGCAGCAACAATCATCCCGGTCCCCAAGAACCCGAATGTCACAGGCCTGAATGACTACAGGCCTGTGGCACTCACTCCTATTGTTGCCAAATGTTTTGAGAGACTGGTCATCAAACACATTAAAGCTGCTATACCACCATCACTGGACCCAAACCAGTTTGCCTACCGGAGGAACCAGTCAACAGAGGATGCTATCGCCCTCGTGTTACACTCTCTTCTGGAACACCTGGAGAAGAAGAACACATACGGGAGACTGCTCTTCATTGACTTCAGCTCTGCGTTTAACACCATCCTGCCGAACAAACTCCACAGCAAATTGCATGAACATGGACTGAACACCACATTATGCAACTGGATCCTGGACTTCCTTACAAACCGCACTCAATATGTCAGAATCGGCAAGCACATCTCCCCCACCCTGCCCATCAGCACTGGGGTCCCCCAGGGTTGTGTGCTTAGTCCACTACTTTTCACACTTTTCACCCATGACTGTTATTCATTCTCCCCATCTACCATTATAGTTAAATTTGCAGACGACACAACAGTACTTGGCCTCACCAAGGACAATGAAGAGACCTCATACAGGAGGGAGGTGGACAGATTGGTGGCATGGTACCGCGAGCACAACCTGATTCTGAATGTCATCAAGACCAAGGAAATGATCTTTGACTTCCGCAGGTCTGTGCGAAAGTACTCCCCACTCCTCATCGACATCAGGAGGTGGAGAGGGTCTCGTGCTTTAAGTTTCTGGGTGTGACTGTGGCTGACAACCTGTCCTGGAGCGCTAACATCCAGTCTGCCCTTGGCAAGACACAGCAGTGTCTGTTCTTTCTGAGGAAGCTCAAATGGGCAAACCTATCACGGGAGCTGCTGACCAACTTTAACCACTGCGCGGTGGAGAGCGTGCTGACGTACGGACTACTGGTGTGGTTCTCCAGCTGCACCAGAGCGGAGAAGGAGGCCATCGAGAGAGATGTCTCAGCTGCGGGGAGGATCATCGTGACCAGCCTCCCGGAGATCTCCTCGGTCTTCGACTGCCGCTGCCTACGCCGTGTCCAAAACATCATCCGGGACCAATTCCACCCAGCACACCACATTTCCGATTGCTGCCCTCTGGTAGGAGATACGACTGTTGGACAGCCTGTATCCAACAGCTGTCAGGCTGCTGAATGCCCAACCTGTCTCCCATGCTCCCAACTCCTCCCAACAGAAACACTAGGCAAAATACACAAAGAAAATACTCTCAAATAACAAAACCAGGAAAAAACTAAATTTACAGACCACATCATGACAACCACCTGCAGTAACATAAAAACTCCCCGCTCATCCTGCTCCTATGAGATTTGCTTGGGTCCAGCAGGACCTGCATCCTGATGCAGTCCTCCTCTGGAGGATTTTAGGTTTGCTGGGTCTGAATTTTTTAAATCATCATCGAACACTTTGAATGAAAGGTGTCCTCCAAACCAGCTAGCTGTCGTTGTGTTTTTATGTTTTATGTTATCTTTAATTTTTTTTTAATTGCTTTGTATCACTGTTCTCCCTGATTGTCTATTTATTTTTTAAATGACTACCTGTATGATGCTAAGTGACTCTGGGCCTGATCTGCTGAGATCCCAAATAACGAGCGCTTAACTGCATGTGTAAACTAAAAGATGCATGTGCTATTAGTGGGCATGTTGCAGGTGATTTACTATGTTTGTGTGCACAATTGATAACAGGTGCAAAAATTGTGTGGATCGCCCTATTGAAATGAGGATTTTGTTTTTGCTATACCAGCTGTCACCATGGAGAGTCTGAGAGAGCAGAGTGGCCATAAAGAAAGTTTGAAGCCATGGAGTTGGAGGTTGGGGGGGGGGGGGGGGGGGGCTGTGAAAAGGTTACAAAACTGGAAGATCTGCTGATTAAATAAAAAAGAAGACGGCAAGATATCCACAGAGGAACAAAGGAAAACCTTAAAAACTTTCCTTCCTTAAAACCTCTGATCAGGCCCTTTGTTTGGTCGAGGTCTATGTTTGACACAGTTATTATTATTATTATTATTTTTACCTAGAAAAGGTGTCACATCACTGGTATTAGAGCCTCCATACTCCATTCACAAAAACAGAAATCTGACCCCACAGTACGAGAGTCCCTGCTCTAACTACTACCTTTATTTGTTTGTTTTTCTGTTGATGGGTTTTCATTTGTTGCTTGTCTATTTTATGGTGAGTTCATACTGTGCTTGTGTTACACACAGTTTGTGCATCAACAATTTTTTTTCCCAGAATAAATGGATAAAGATGTTAAATTCAAACCCCAGACTTTACAAATGGGGGTCCAAAAGCTTAAAACATTTTCTTATTTTCAGTATTATCCATCAGTGTCATGTAATCTGAGTAAAAGAGAGATTTGACACAGCAGTTGACTGCACACACACACACACACACACACACACACACACACACACACGAACAAAACAGGAAACTCGCAGACACGTATGAAGCTCATCAGGCAGTGTGTTTATTAACCACTAGAGAGCAGAGCTGTTCATCTTATACATCACTTCAGTTTGGATTTAAAACATGAGAAAAAGCAGAAATGGATTCAGTTCAGATCATTGTGTTCACGCTGTTTTATGCTGCACAGTCAAAAACAAAATATGAGAAATGAGAGTTGTCGAGCTCGTTTACATGCAAATCTTTTTAATATAAAACACATAAAACAGAGTGAATGCACGATTCAAAAGAAAAACAGAAAAGCTTTGTCAGTCCTCCAGTTTCCAGCAATGAATTATTAGACCTTGTATAAAGACTTTTACACGAGATTATGAAACAAGTTTACTATAAGCAGCTTTTAAGGTTTATCTATTTTTATTTATTTATTTATTTTAACATCAAATACCTCCAGCCTATGACACTGATCCAAAACACACAGGAACAAGTTAAGGTCTAACAGTGTAAAAGATAAAACAAACTTTAAATAACAACAACAAATACAAATAAAAGTTACACCTCAAATTCTCTAAAAGTTGATGTTGAATATGAATATTGAAGCCTGCATTCAATATAAAAAAATAAAAAAATATTGTTTTATGAAAATGATCTGCTCATTTTTTAAATTTGAAAAGTTTCGATGTAGACATCTTTATTATTGTTTTTTTTAAATGATGATATATTATTTTGTTGGTCCCCTATTCAGCCAGAACAGTCCTGACCCATTGAGGTGTGGACTCCACTAGACCTCCGAACATGTGCTGTGGTATCTGGCACCAAAATGTTAGCAGCAGATCCTCTAAGTCTTGTATGTTGTGGGTCCAAGGATTGGACTTGTTTGTCCAGCACATCCCGCAGATGCTTGTTTGGATTGAGATGTATCAGGGATATTTGAAGGCCAAGTCAACTCCTCAAAATCATTGTTGAGCTCCTGAAACGCTTCTTATCTAAATCCAAAATAGACATATTCTGCACACAGAGCAGGGGCTTATTCTACGAAGCAGGATTACTGCTTCGTGAGGTAACTTCAAGGTTCAAGTTTGGTGTTTCCTGTTCTACGATGCAGGTTCACTTCTTAGCAAGGTGAGTCTCCATGGCAACGTACGCTGAACGGCTAACCTGCTCCGGGGCAGGTAAGGATCCAGATTGAACTCACAGAGTATAAAAACCCCGCCCACTGACCAATGAGCTGTCTCGAAAAATGGCTTGTCCGTTTTTGGAGGATCCTATAGACCTCGGTGCTCGCATAGTCCGAGGAGCACTCCAGCGCGCGAGAGTTTTTAGGGACCGCACAGACCCACTTACTTTTCCGGATGACCACCTTTATGAAAGGCTCATATGGCCTACATATCACGCAAAAAATGTAAACATGATAGAAATGAACAAATGAATTCATTTTGGAAATGAATTAGACATGTCTGATGCATGTTAGAAGTGCATGTTAAACAGCGCTATTTTAGGGTGAAAATGGCATCAAAGATTTTTTGCACACTATACTTGAGACTGTCTGCAATTTTCTGCCAGCATTCCTTCCGTGCTTTTGCAGCAGCAATGGTGTTGCCTTTGAGGTTTATGATTGATTTGAACGCTTCATACTTTCTCATGATCGTCTCCTGCTCCTCGTTTGTAAAGTCCGCGGTCCTTCGCTCTCTGGTCTGCTCTGACGATCCAGACTGGTCCATGTTCATGATTGGTCAGATGCGGCAGGCTCCGCCTTACATGCGTGCACGCGCTCATAGCAAAGCTGGATCCACTTACAAGGTTGATAACTAGCGTCGTAAGACCGTTTAGCGAGACCGCTAGCTACCGCGCTAAGTTGAACTTGCTTCGTAGAGTAGGCCCCAGGTATCACAGCTATGCACCAAGGCTACGTTCACACTGCAGGTAATGATGCACAATTCAGATTTTTTGTTAAATCTGTTCTTTTTGTGCGGTCATTCACATTGCAATAACGAATGCCGCACCTAATGTGGAATGCGTCTGTGAAGTGACCCGCATGCACACAAAGCACAAATTGCTTTCCACGCCTGTTTGTGTTGTCAAACAATGGTGATGTTTGTCGCATATTGATGACGTATAGGTCGGATGAATGGACCTGAGCATCCACACTGCAGTCACATCGGATACATATCCAATTTATATTCATATACAAAAGAGGCCTGGGTCGGATTTGAAAAAGCTGAATTACATTGTTTACACTTAAACGAAAAAATCAGATATGTGTCACATATGGTTAAAAAATCAGAATTGACCTGCATTGTGAACATAGCCTAAATTATGCAAACCATTTATTTTTTGTTTGTTTTTAACCTCTTTCTTGAAAGTCTTATAAGTCTTAAAAAAAAAGGGTACACAGTACAATCTTATAAAAAGCAAATAAAATCCATAAAAGACAATAAAATGAAATCAACCTCCTACTGAGTGTTAAAAGCCAAGGAGAAGAGGTGGGTCTTAAGATGGGATTTAAAAACAGACAGAGAGGAGGCCTGTCTGATATGCTGAGGCAGGTTATTCCAGAGTTTAGGAGCTGCAACAGCAAAGGCATGATCCCCTCTGAGCTTCCGCTTTGTTTTAGGCTCTCTCAGGAGCAGCTGATCAGCTGACCTGAGAGACCGGGACTGAGTGTAAAAATGTAGAAGCTCAGAGAGGTATGGCGGGGCAAGACTGTTGAGGGATTTAAAAGCAAATAAAAGAATTTTAAAATGAACCCTAAAATGTATAGGCAGCCACTACAGCGTTCTGCACCAACTGGAGCTGAGAGATGGCCGACGCACTAACCCCCAAATATAATGCATTGCAGTAATCCAGCTGAGTGGTAACAAAGGCATGGATTGCCGTCTCAAAATGCTGCCTAGAGAGAATTGGTTTTATTTTACCTAGTCCCAGAGGTTCCACCAAAAAACACCACCTCTGTTTTATTGTCATTAAAATTTAAAAAATATATTTTTATATATGTATACTCCAGGTCCTCCTGTCTGATTAGTTACAAAGAAGCTCACATTAGAGCAGTAAACATACTTAGTGTTACCATTAAGTCACCATTTTTCCAGACAGAAATAAATGATCTACCAGACCTGCCCTGCATGTAGAGATTAATTAATCCAAACCTGGATCAAAGGTTAATGTTTCTGTTCCTCTGTGTTATCATGTGTGAGGCTACATGAATGTAGGAATGTTCATGCTAATATCCAGCTGTAAACATTAATGGGGTGTGAAATTAGCATGCTACATCCTTGTTCCTCCATCCTTCATGCCTGACTTAACTCCTCACGGGTGCTCAGCACTCCTCAGACCTGTTGTTCTTCCTGCCTGTGCTCTGTGACATGTCCTCCATCAGACCTTTTTAACAGGAAACAAACTGAACATACATCATTTCAAACCAGTTTGTCAAAATGAGTCCTTCATAGTTCAAGTCTGCTTGAATGAGGAAAGAAATGTCAAATGTGCACTTTGATGAGAAGTACAACAGATGAGCCAGAAGGTGTTCAAGTTGTCTGTAAATTACAGCAGGTTTGGAGTTAAGTTGTGCCGAGAGGAAGCTGGTGGGAACCTGTCTCTACAATCTTTCTTAAACTTGTATTTTGTGTGAACTCGTTCAATGAACGAACTCCCTATCAGCACCGCTGTGTCACTCACTCATGTACTGCACTGGCAGGATGAAGCTATGACTGATACGATGAACAAATCTTTTGAACGAATCATTGTATGAACAGATTCTAAAGATTCAGTACAGTCAAACGAACTGTTCTTCCCATCACTAATACTGACCGGACTGACATCCAATGTCCTTATGTCTGTTGTGAAACTTACGTTTAGTCCATTCTTGTTGATCAAACAGTGGACATGTGTGGCAACCATATCATAGAGGGCAGAGAGGGACAAATTTGAGAAGAAGCGATGATTTGGGAAGTGTGTAAGGTGGCTCCAATTGTGCTATTAACTTGTAAAAACCTGGGGTTATCGACTACAGTAAAAGGCCAATTGTCCAGCGCTATAAATTCCATCACTTTTTCGTTAATGACTTTAGCCTTTTCCCTGTCTTTTGCAAAGTTTTTACAGGTTTCACAGGTTACAGGTTGTTTTACCCTTAGCAGCGCTAGTTGCATCCACAGCAGCTTTGTATTCTTTCAATACTACTGCGCCAAAAATGATGACTTTTCAGATGTGCTATCAGATTTGTTAGAGCTTGAAGCTTCCTTTCCTCCTCTCGAAATCCCTGCAACTTGTTTTTGCATACAGCGATGCTGCTGTTATCTGCTGCCACCAAGAAAAACGTCCACACTGGTGTAGACGTGCTAGCTCAGGTGATGTGCTATTAGTGCTCATTCATTGTCAGTCAGGCAGTGAGGGGGCCAAGCTTGGGTCCTTCTGGGGCATGGTAGACAACAAAACCAGCGCTACACAGCATGTTTTGGGGCTACTCAGCTTATAAAAATTTTTGCCATTGTCATTAATCTATCGGATCAATTTATCCAATTTAATTTACCTTTCAGACTGATTAATATAAAATCAGCTGATGTGTTAACAGCCTGATAAGTATCGTGCATCCTTAGTTGGACTACATATGTTCCTACTCCTCATTTTGGCCCGGTAATCCAATGACTACCTGCATCCCTGTTGGGTCTAAAACCTGCAACAAATGACTCAAACACAAAGAAGAGAAAGACAATGGTATTAGATTTCTTACTCGCGAGGAGAACGGACAGAGATACGTTCAGTTACAATCTCCAACTGCTCTGAAGCATATCTTGTCGTCTCCTCTCTTTTTATTATCCTTCGGGTGGTCCCTAGTTACAAAACGCTGCATGCACTAAAGGGTGGGGAAACAGTCTTGCAGCAGCGTGGTACCTTACATCACTCATAATCATTAACAAGCAGACAATCTGTGGGGGTAAGGTGACCTTGTTGACATTTCACAATCTCCTTCTTATGGTTGGAACGGTTCCTCCTCTACTATTGCTCCCACGTCTCACAGCGGAGGTTACAAAACACATACCTGCTAATTGGAGAAACAAGGTCAGAGAAGTTAGAAAACACTCATGAGTACTTTCTCATGTGCTGTGTAACAAGAAGGTAAAGCAGTTCATAGTTGTAAGAAACTTTTCCATTTGGAATTTGAGTAAGACTATTGATAATTTCTATATACATTTATACACATTATTCTGACAATCCCTTACTTGTATCATTCAGTGCTTTGTATCCCTCGAATCCATGCAACCTGTGCTAGAAAAATCATTGAGTTCACAAACTGTATAATTTATGTTAACACAGTAGTGCCATAAATATTACACAACAACACAAGGTTTTTTTTAGCTTATATTTCGCTTGTTTTGTCTTCTGTGTGGAGTTCTACACTGGTTGTGAAACAATTTTTTTTCTAGTTTAAATAATTTATAAAAGACCAGAGAAAACAGCAACCCTGCAGCAGCCTGCAGGAGTTCCTTTTTTTTGTAAGAGTTAAAAATAATCTGAGTCCCTCAGATGTTGTAGAGAAATAATTTATCTGGCTTTTTTTCAAAAGACGTTTAGACTGTTACACATTATAGTCAAACATTTGAATGCTTATGATGGGTCAGATTTATGATGAGTAATTTTCATGTACAAACTGTCTCAATAAGTCAAAAACTTTCTGACTGTGCAACAGTAGATGCTCTGCAACATGTTGGGAACAGCACACTGAGGGCTCTATTTTCGTTCGCGCCGGTGAGGCAGCGGAGGGCGGCGAGCCCCGCGCAGTTGTATTTTCGTCTGGCGTGTAAGGCGAGTTTGGTATTTTCGTGGAGACTGAGTCGCACGGAGGCGAGCCGAGATCCGCCAAGCTGGGCGTGGTGGCGTGGCAGGGGGAGGTGTTGACAGAATCAGCTGTCAACACCTATATCTGATCTGATGAGCGCGTTTGGCACGCGTTTGGCACGCGTTTGGGCACACAACCTGACTGAATCAATACAGCTGAAACTGCATCAAATTAAATTAAATATCTAGTAAATAAACACACATGATGAAGTTAACAAGATATGTAATGTGTCTCCCTCCTTTTCTTTCTTCCTCTTATTTCTCGCACAGCTCGACCTGGACACGTCTCCGTGTCCTCTGTCCGTCTTGCTGCAGCTGCTGCGGCTGAACAGATGATTTGTTTCAGTGCTCAGATGCGTTATCTACTTTAAGCCGACATACGGATATTATAATATTCAGTTTTGTGGGCCACATTTATACATTTTATATGCCAACATCTATGAAAGAAAGAGCCAGGCCACGGAGCGCGATGTGTCATTTACGCACAGATGGTTCCGATTTTAATGCCATTTTTGGAGTTTATGTTGTGATCTGTGCGCTAAACCCACCTTTGTCACGTGAGGTTTGAATATATGCAACTTTATGTGAGTGTCTTTTTTGTGGAAAAGGGTGTTTGTCTTACCAGTGGGTCCAACATTACGCACACCAAATCTATCTGTGCTCAGATGAGAGAGTGTGGAGGACACTTGTTGAGCAGCTGCCCTCTGTCGCCATCGTGTGGCATAACTGTCTTCAGACATCTCTTGATCTCTTTGACTACTTCATGAAAATAGTAATACGCCTCGCCGGTGGCGGATTTAAAGGCAAGGAGAGGAGCTTATGTGATTGGTGAAAACAGGTCTCGGCTGTGTTAAACCCCTATACGCCCTCTCTCCTCCCCGTCTACGACTTATGCTGCCGGGAACGCCTTGTCAGCGCGGCGGATCTGATTGACGCTGCGCTTGCGGCACGTCTTCGGCGAGGCACCAAAATAGAGCCCTGAGTGTGTAGAAATGGGAATATTTAGAGAAATCAGCGATCAAATTTTAGACTGGAACACTCTCTCACTTACCTCTTTTTAAAGCTGCTCCACCAAGAAAACTGCTTTTATGAAATATGAATATCTTTAAATATTTTAATTAATTTGGTTAAAAAATTCAAGCTTCGTGTGTGTCATTGGGTCCTGTACCATGATGGCTGTGTTTTAGTTGTAAGGGGTTTATGGATATAGCCTTTTTAATCACTGAAGTAAACTAAACTGCAGAAAAATTATGCACAAACATGAGAGAAATTCTGCGCCTGCAGAAATAGGATTTCAGCTCAAAAGAACATCATCTGCCCTTGGCCACACGCCATCTGCATCCAAGGACATCAGCGCTCTCCTGAGAGAAGCTTTTGCTCTGCAGCCTGCCTGGTCCATTCATCCATTACACAACTGTCAGAACAGCACAGTGGGAGTGCAACACTTTAAGGAAATGGATGAGAGGTGGACTCGTGTAAAAAAAATGTGTTATGAACATTGTTTGACGTAAATCACTACAAATCAGAATTTTATCTGAATGTTATAATCTGAATTTGAGGGAGACTCATTTGAAGTTCTGGATATCAGGTTTGTGGTTACAAGGCCAGGAAAGTAGATGCACTGTGTTAGTTCTGAAAACATGAAGAGATTTATTATAAAATATTAGCCTTGATGGATAAGTGTATGGATGTTGTCAAAAACATGAGTGAGGGAGAGTTTATTGATTAATGCGATCAGTAACACTGTTGGTAGTTTCTGAGGATTATGACAAATCTTTCAGCTGCATGCGAGTGCTGAGTGCTTGTATGTTAGTAGGTTAATGCACAACAGTGGAAAAAGCTAAACAAAAAAGCTAAATACTACAGAGTGTGCCAACAAGTTGCAGACTTCAAGAGTACTCAGACAAAAACTACCATACTTGCGTCTTCATACATACGTATGAACATATGTATGTACATACATACGTCTTCTACTACAACAACATATTCCATTAACAGTCACAGTTTACACCCACTTAATCAACAGTCTCTGCAAAGACAGACTTGAGAATTGGCAGCACGTACTCTGACTGTTTAAGGGGCCATAAAAACAAAGAAGGACATCAAAGCTGTGATAAATGTAGATCTGCCTTTACCAGCATTTTGAAGACTGTTTTGTAAGCTTGTTGCTGGTCTAGTTCTTCTGTGATCAGACTCAGATAATTCTGACATCCATCCCGTGTTACTATCCTTTTCACGGCACACAGCTGAGGAAAAATCATTCTAAACACACTACACAAAAATATGGTACAATAATCTTTAGAGCCTTTGCTGATTTGTGTTGAAAGATGGGAGTCAGGCCCAGAATCTGCCCTACTATCTGGAAGTATGCTATGCTTCCTCCAGTATTGAAGTATTGAAACACATTCAGATAGTCTGCACAACATTTTGTTTTAGTGTTATTATTTCTTGCCCAATAATAGTAAGAATCTACATGTTTAGAAATCAAAGCCTCTTACTTTATCCAACACTCTCTGGGTAGAAAGAAAATCCACATAAGAATCAAAAACAACTGGCTAGGGAAGTCAACAAAAAACTCACTTACAATATCCTTGAGGAAAAATATATTTTATTTTTTATTATTTGTAGTTTTGTATTTGCACAACAACCACTATTAAAAACACAGTTCATGAATCTGGCTTTGCTTACTGCCATAAAACATTAAACATTTAAACAAATAAAAACTAAGAAAGAAAAACAGGGTAAAGATGAAAATGAAAAGGAAGAGGAATAATTCAAGAGAGAATTACATAAATGCTTTTAAGATTTGCAGGGGACAGAGAATACTTTAAATGTTTCACATTCATTCAAGTATGATTAGCAAAAAGGTATTCTGTTCCAAACATGAGAATTTTGTGATTAACATGTCATGCATTTTACAATATGTAAATCATATTCAAATCACCATGGTTTGCTCATATTTCTTTTGTAAATGAGATTGTGGGAATACAGATTCTGTCCTGTTCACTGAAATTTCTGATTAAGCTTCTTTTAAGCTTCTGCAGCAGTGACTATGAATCCTATGAAAGGTGACGGAAAGGCTGCACAAAGATTTAACATCATTATCAGCAATCGGACAAGTGAAGCAGACAGTTTTGACTGTGGACCCTCAGATCCCATCAGAGAACGCTCCAATTACAAAGGTGCTGCAGGGTGTGAGGCTGAGGAATCTTGGTGGGTTACACAGTCCACTGAGATGATTTGTGTCTGCAGTGGGTGTTGAGGGGCTATGTCTTTGCTCGCTCAAGAGGGAGCTTGCATGCAAGATGTCTTGGTTTTATTAAAAAGCGATATGCATTATGATGTTTATCAAGTTGGAACTTGATAACGCACACACACACACACACACACACACACACACACACACACACACACACACACACACACACACACACATATATATATGTATATATATATATATATATATATATATATATATATATACATATTATAGGCCAAACAGTTGGGAGTAACTTCAAGTTTTTGTTCACAATGCTTTTTTTAAAATCCAGCATGAGTTTTATGTTTTTTGGGATGTATTTACTCCATGGTCAGACGTTGCTTTCATGGAAATGCACCATTTTACTCCATTTACCTTTAGATATACATTAATGTGAACACACCATTGCTAAATATATGTCAGCAAAAGAAAATAAGGGCTTAGTTGCGGGGTTAAAAACATTTGCAAGAGTCACAACTTCAGTTCAAAAGCAACAAAACAAATCACAGTTGGATTATTCACTTCAACTTTTTGGCTTCCGAGAGTCTGCATACAAAAATCCTAATAAATCTCAACTGCGTTCAAACTACCACAGAAATGGCTAGAAAGAAGACACTGAGTAAAGAAACTAAAGTACAGATTTGTACGTTGAGGAAAGAAGGATACACAGAAAGAGAAATTGCAAAATGCCTAAAGGTGTCTAACAAAGGAGTCCACTACACTCTGAAGAGACTAGAGGAACCTGGAAGTTATGGTGATAAAAAAAGGCCTAGATGAAAGAGAGTTACTACAAAAGCAGAGGATAAGGGAGAATTAAGGGAGAAATTCAACATGATAAGGTCAAAACCCATATCTCTTACAACCTTGAAATGACGTTTGAAAAAGGCTGGTCTGAAGGGTTGTGTATCTGCAAAAAAAAAAAACCACTACTTCGTTCACGGAACAAAAAAAAGGGAAATGTATGGGCAAAAGCTCACAAAAATTGGACTTATGATGACTAGAAACAAGTTTGAACTGTTTGGTTTAAAATGCAAAATCTGTCTGCAGACAAACTGGTGAACGTCTGAAAGCACCATGTGTTAAACCCACAATTCAGCATGGAGGTGGTAGTTCCATGGTATGGGGATAATATGCAGGTGATGGAGTAGGAGATTTGTTTGAAGTAAAGGGTATCATGGAGAAGGAACAGTACCATTCCATCCTCCAGCACCATGCTGTTCCATCTGGACTCAGACTTGTGGCTCATAAGTTTGTTTTTCAGCAAGACAATGACCCTAAGCACTCTGCCAAGCTCTGTCAGGGTTACCTAGACAAAAAAGAAGAGGAAGGTGTTCTTCAAAAGACGGTTTGGCCCCCTCAGTCTCCAGACCTTTCTCCAATTGAGCTTGTGTGGGATGAATTGGATCGATCGGTCAGAAAAATGCGTCCCACAAATCAGCAGTCTCTTTTTAATGAACTTAAGAAAGCTTGGAATGCAATCCCTGGAACATACCTTAAAAAACTTGTGGAACGAATGCCTGGTATTTTCCAAGCTGTTGTTAAAGCCAGAGGAGGTTACTCTAAAGAAAGCAAAGTCTAAGCAACAATTACTCAAATACCTAATAATTATAGTCAAAATGTCTTCTGATAAGTTACTCTTTACACAATAGTCATGTTTATTGTGTTGCAAATTATATGAAACTGTGATCTTTTTTTTCTACATATCTGATCTTGCCTCCAAACTTTTGGCCTGTAGTGTATAATCATACATAACCAACAAAGGCCGAGGGGAAGATAGGGACTATATACACACACTGGGAAACGAGCAACAGGTGAGGCAGGTGAGACAAAGGTGAAACTCAGGCTGTGTCTCATTTCAGAGACCGCATCGGGCTAAGTACACTTCTGCACCGTCGAACGGTGCATTTGAAGCGTGCATGACGTCACGACGGCACGAACGGTATCCCATTTGGCACGAGATGCTAAGAAATGCTAAGCGCGCTTAGCATTTTTTCAAGCGTGCATTTATGCACGCTTTCGTGCCGTCGGTATCCCAGAATTCTTTGCGTGCCACTGCACAGCTTCGCATTTCAGGTGAGAGGCTGGACTCGCTTGGAGGCACAGCGCGTCTTCAAAGAAAATACAAGAAATCCAAAACAGCAGTCAGCTCAGGCTGTATGAGAGCATGATCTCTTAACTCACTAAAATCTGTAAACCAAACATTATAGATTTAGACACGAACTGATCCGCTCTGCTTCAACAATCAAAAACATTAGAAATAAGAAAGCTGACAAAACTACAGCAGAGTATCAGGACATCATTGAGTTTTTTTTTTTCTTTTAAAATTTAGAGATTAAAGTTGTAAATTTAGGAGAATAAAGTCATAAAGTATAAAAAGTCATAAAGCTGCTTTTGTGGAGGGAGAAATGACTGAAGCTGGTCATCTGCAGGGTTATCTGTGGATGTATCAGCAGGTCATTCAGAGAGATTTTGTGGTTTCTGAAGAAACAAACTGATGATCAACATTTGTGATCCAGAGGGAGTCGAGCTCAGACGAGCACCACGTCTCTGACACCGGCGGTAACCTACACCTGCAGAGACACCAACACCTTATTATGGCATATGGATTTATATCATAAACTAAAGCTCAATACCATTCACGGATATTTACGGCTGCATTGACAGATATATCCTCAGCATATTCATTTCTGCCTCCACAAAAGCAGCGATTTCCTTCAAGTACACCAGTTTTTTTCCCCGTGGAAAAGACGTATTTCTCATATATTCTTTATACTTATAAGTCTTTATACTTATGACAATGTGATGCTGATGTGCCAAAGGATGAAGTATCTCTTTGTTTGTGAAACCTATACTGAAGCACAGTTCCTTCAAATGCTTCATGGCCCTAATTTTAACAAGTCTCCTCTGAAATAACAGGTTACGACTTCAATCTCATAAATTAATGACTTTATTCTCGTAAATTCACGACTTAAATCTCGAAGTCTTTAAAAAAAATTCTCAATATAGCCCTCATACAAAACAATCATTGGATTAATTTTGTGGGAATGATCTGTGCTTGTACAGTATGTATCTATTATTTTGTGTCTGTGCAAGGTCGCACAATTAAAACAATACATGCTGCGCTCTGCAGCTTATTTTCTAGTCAGTCGTGACGTAAGCCTGAGGGTGGGGACATTTGGAGACCTTTGGAGGACTTCCTGGTGGAGTCACCAAATGTCCCCGCCCTCAGGCTCGCGTCACGACTGACTTAAAGAAAACCAGCGGAGCGCAGCATTTATTTTTTCATTGTGCGACCTCGCACAGACACAAAATAGGAGATACATAGAAGCACAATTAATCAAATGATTGTTTTGTATGAAGGAGTATGAGGGCCATATTGAGATTTAAGACTTTAAAGACTTCGAGATTTAAGTCGTGAATTTATGAGAATAAAGTCATTAATTTATGAGAATAAAGTTAAAAGGTTCCCTGTTATTTCAGAGGAGACTTGTTAAAATTAGGGCCATGAAGCATTTGAAGGAACTGTGCTTCAGTATAGGTTTCACAAACAAGGAGATACTTCATCCTCTGGCACATCAGCATAACATTGTCATAAGTATAAAGACTTAAAAAAAGAATATATGAGAAATACGTCTTTTCCACGGGGAAAAAAAACTGGTGTACTTGAAGGAAATCGCTGCTTTTGTGGAGGCAGAAATGAATATGCTGAGGATATATCCGTTTATGCAGCCGTAAATATCCGTGAATGACATTGAGCTTTAGTATATGCCATAATAAGGTGTTGGTGTCTCTGCAGGTGTAGGTTACCGCCGGTGTCAGAGACGTGGTGCTCGTCTGAGCTCGACTCCCTCTGGATCACAAATGTTGATCATCATCAGTTTGATTGTTTCTTCAGAAACCACAAAATCTCTCTGAATGACCCGCTGATACATCCACAGATAACCCTGCAGATGACCAGCTTCAGTCATTTCCCCCTCCACAAAAGCAGCTTTATGACTTTTTATACTTTATGACTTTATTCTCCTAAATTTACAACTTTAATCTCTAAATCTTAAAAGAAAAAAAAAACTCAATGATGTCCTGATACTCTGCTGTAGTTTTGTCAGCTTTCTTATTTCTAATGTTTTTGATTGCTGTAGCAGAGCGGATCAGTTGTCTCTAAATCTATAATGTTTGGTTTACAGATTTTAGTGAGTTAAGAGATCATGCTCTCATACAGCCTGAGCTGACTGCTGTTTTTGGATTTCTTGTATTTTCTTTAAAGACGCGCTGGGCCTCCAAGCGAGTCCAGCCTCTCACCTGAAATGCGAAGCTGTGCAGCGGCACGCAAAGAATTCTGGGATACCGACAGCACGAAAGCGTGCATACATGCACGCTTGAAAAAGGGGCGGGGGTAGTGTGGTTTTGAGACCGAATTTTAAGCGTGCTTAGTATTTTGTGCCAAACGGGACACCGTTCGTGCCGCGTGATGACCTCACGCACGCCTCAGATGCGCCGTTCGACGGTTGCGGTCTCTGAAATGGGACACAGGAAGGGTACATAACGGCGCAAAACGGCAGTGCACTCAGCTAAGCGCCTTTAAGCGCACTTATCCCGATGCGGTCTCTGAAATGAGACACAGTCACAGTGATTAACAAAGGAGGGAAAACTAGGGAAGTAAAACTAGACTAGAAACACAAAGAATCAACTACTACAAAATAAAACAGGAAATAAACACTGAACACTGATCTAAAGAATAAAACACTGAGAACAGAAAGGAAAAAAGGGTCAAAGACAAACTGAAAACTCACAAGTCTGGACTACAGGGGCAGAGGAACAATGGGAAACAGGAACAATAGGGAAAATACACAAAATGCACTCAAATAAAACCTGGAGAAAACTAAATAAACAGAACATATCATGACACTTTGCATAAATATGGTGAGGACATCAGGTGAAAAATGACACTTCTGCCAGAGCCTGGCATTCCTGCTGTTATATCCAAATGTTTAGCTAAAGTTGTATTTCACATCAAACTGATTTTTGCCCTTTAAGTTTAATTAAAACCTCTGTCCAAATTAAGCAATAAATAAATACATCAATAAAAAATCACAACAATCAACTTTTATCGAGTCATCAGGGTGTTCTTTTTTATGAAGCAAAACTTTAAACTAAAAGGTTTTTTTATTTTATTTTATTTTTTTCTAAGATCTCATTAGTAACTAAAATCCTTGAGGAAAAGACCTCCTTCTGCTCACCTCGGTTGATATCATGGAGGCTGACTCCTCATTGCAGCAGCAGGGTTGAGTCTGTTCTCTTTGCTGGATGCTGCCCTCTCACCCCTTCTGCTTCTCTTCTGCTTTCATTGAAGAAAAGCACAACAGCCCCCAAAATAATAGAAAAAGACTGCACATGAAATACACAGACATCAAAGCTAACATTCATCCTGCCTTTTCTCTACTTGAAAAGACTTTCTAAAAAGTACATCTGATGAAATACACATTGCGTAGGAGTGCAGGTTCACAGAAGAGAGTCATTACTCTGTCTGGCATGATGACTAACCCAATCACAACAGATTTTAGGTGTGTATTTACTCTGGTCCCCTGTCTGTCTGCACCACAAAGCACAAGAACTGAGAAAAGAGCTCTCTCACCTGGATGTCAGTGTGTCTGCAGGTAGAGGGAGAGGCCACCTCAGGTTCGGAAACAGAGAGGAACAAATTAAGAGAAAAGAGGATGCTGACAGGGTCAGGCACAGATATGTTTGGGAGCTGTCTTGATGTGAAAAAGAGGAGGGCACAAAAGAGGGAACAACTCTTCTGAGCTCTGACCACACAAGAACCAGCCTCAGAGTGAAGTATCTGTCTCCTCTTCATAATATCCAAACAGCACTCAGGACTTACAAAAAGTGCTTGAAGGTGTTTGTGATCCCAAGACTAAAAATACCAAAGAGAGAAAAAAACATGCATGTTGACCTCAGTAATTTTACTGTGAGCCAGTGTTGTCTGAACTGTCAAATCTAAGGACTCAAATTTCAAAAACGAACACCAATCCCAAAATTAGAAAGAGCAAATAGAGTTGCCATCCTTGTTGCTAAGGAACAGGTCCTTTTTAAACCTGTCCCCAGTTATAATGAGCTGGGCACAGGTAACGATCTCTTACTGCACTAAGGTCAGCAAGCTTTAAAAGCAGATCCACAGAAGCAGAACAAACACAGGTAAAGCAAGCTGCAAAGTGCTACAGGAGAGTAGTTATTTGAGGAACGGAAAAAAAGGGGGCTTCAAAAATCTAAAATCAAAGTCAGTCAATACAGATGTTGAAGCCAACTCTTGCAGCTACTAAAGTAGTGTCTATGAACAAAATGCATGTGCTACAAACTAGCTTACAAGTTCTAACTTCAAGCTAATATTTTCAAATGACTGAATAAGTGGCACAGCCTAAAATTAAAAAAAATTTTAAAAAGAAAAAAACATGTCACTAGAATCTAGATGGGCAAATGAGGATAAGAAAGAAAAACAGGGTAAAGATGAAAATGAAAAGGAAGAGGAAAATTGAAGATATATTTTGTTAGTCAGTTTTTGTAAGTTTGTGGGAGCTATTTTTGTCAAGGTTGGATTGCCACTGTAGCACACATATTTTTAAGTCAGTTAGTATTTTTTTCCAATAGAGAAGAGACATTATTTCTATCATTATTTCTAAAACTTGTCATGATGAAATGTGACAAAATGTCGTCACTCCGTTATGTCTTAATTTTTTTAAACTTTTATGATCTGTTTTAGACAAAATAAACTATGTTCAACATCAAATTTCATTCTTTCAAGAACATATTAAGCTTATCTACTCAGCATTTTCATCCCCCTTATTAAACATTTTAATATATTCATTAAGTAACATTTTAACATATCTAAAAACATACTGACATGAACTTGTCTGAAATGACGCATTTTAAACAAGGCTACACAATGTTGTTCACTTTGTGAGCAAAAGGACATGAGAGTCACTTAGTGCACCAAGAAAAATGATACCATGGAGAGGACAGGAAAGCCCTCTGGCTACTAGACTTAAGTCCCTGTATGCTGAAAAAGGCCCAGTACACCAAAGGGTTGTATTTCGAAGAGCTAGTACTCTGTATTGGAGTGTACAGGTCAACTGAAACTCTGTTAACCTAAGTAGGTCTGCCAACATAGTCCAAAAAAGTGTATTTGGTTTGACTATACATTAAGTTGATATTTATATCTAGACCAGTGTGTTTTATTTCACCTTGATGAGGTTAGACTGCAAACTTCCAGCAGTCTTCCTCATGAAGAGTCGTGTGACTTTGTAGGCAAATATCACTGTAGTGCAGACTGTATGTTTCATACTGTGAGTTATACATCATGTAGTAGCCAAATGCCTTAAAAAAGGTTTCTCCTTTTTTCCTTCCTTGTGTCTGTTTGTTTAAAGGGTTTCCTTTTCCCAGTCATCACACGCGCAAACTTTCAAAAAACAAATTCTTGGAGAGCTGGATGAAGTTGCCTTGTTTTTTATTGTAAAGGTAAATACGTAAATGAATGAATAACATAGATTATTTAAACAATAAATCACAGCTTGAAAGCCTGCGGTCAATGACAATTTGAGCTGTGAGCCATCATCTGTCCATGTGTCAGCTGCTCCTAATTATAGGTGAGTGCACCCTCACCACCTGCGGCGAGAGCAGACACAATTCAAAAAACAAAATTCAACTATGTAAATAAAAACTCCAATGTGGCTCCTACACACCACTTCACAAATTCCTGCATCTACACAGCTGTAAACACACACACACACACACACACACACACACACTTAATATTTTCTTGTGTCATTCATATAACTGACTGTATCGTCTGACACACACAAACACACACATGCACAAACACACAGTATTTTCTCAGTCATTCATACATACTGACCATCTCTCTTGACACACACACACACACACACACACACACACACACATGCACTCTCACACACCCTGCGATTAAGCCCACCATGTGTTTCAGGGATTAGGTTGTGCATATCTAAAGAGGCACGCCATACCATCTGTGCAGGGACTAAACAACCTTACCTCCTGACACACACACACACACACACACACACACACACACACACACACACACACACACACACACACACACACACACACACACACACAGTGGAGTCTGCTCTTAATCGCTTGAGTGTACACTTCTTTAATTGAGTTTCAAGAGGGAATAAAAAACAATAGCATGAATGTTGCCCATGTTTGCATGCTAAATGATCATTATGTACATCACTGTGCACGTGCACGTGACTCTACATGTGCAATCAAATTGATAACGCATCAACACACAGCAGGGACTGTGTAGCATGGCTTAAGTTTAGTCTGCAGGCTGTGTTTGATTTATTTGTGCTGATGGAGGGTACTGGAGAGTGTATTTGATTTACTAATGCATTTTTATGTGTGTATTATACTGCCAGCAGTGTACTGCAGCATAAATTAATGTACAGGACAGATGGCCTCTTTATGTGCTTGACTCTGTGTGCATGTATACGTGTAAGTGTTTGTGGTTTTAAAATTTCCTATGTTGTTGTTTGAAGTGAGTTTATCATTTTTTGACTCTGAAAATACTCACACATCGGGTGCTCTTTTAACCTATTTTTTCAAGACAAAACTCTAACCTCCCCTTTTTCTGAATTTTAAATTATAATCAAAGTTTCTATTCAATCATTTTTTGACTCTGAAAATACTCACACATCGGGTGCTCTTTTAACCTATTTTTTCAAGACAAAACTCTAACCTCCCCTTTTTCTGAATTTTAAATTATAATCAAAGTTTCTATTCAAACTACAAATGAATCCTGATGCTTATATTTGTGTACTACAAGTTTGGGCCATTACAGCATAGTAAATTTATCACACTGGTCGTAAACGTTGATTTTGCACCTTTTGAAATTATTTTTACACCATTCAAAGAACTAAAGTGCATGGACTTAAGTTCACATTGCAAAGAAAATGGCTGCATGGTTGACCACACTTCGCTCATTAGCATGTTAGGTTCAGGGTGCAAAGAGATTAGACCAAGTTCCTCTATTGTTTAAAGGTGCTTTTTGGTAACGTGAACCAAAGTGGTTGGTGTGGCTGCTTTCATTCAATATATGTGTCAGGTGTGCCTCCTGAGTTTAGCACTTAAGACTCTAGCTAGCTCTTAAGACTTCTCTCTTTCTATTAATCCTCTCAACATGCAGAAAAGACACCTAGTCACAATCAGGGAATTTCAGCATTAACAGGTGTGCAGCATGACTTCATTTTTTTAAGACTTTGGACACATGCTGACCTTGTTAGATAGGATCCATTTATAAACAACGTCCACAGAAATCATTGTTAAAATCTCACATGAACACTCTGCATCAAAAGAAAATCAGAGTGTTACAGACTATATGTCATACTGCAAACATAATACATGGTTACCTTCTAATTAATGTGGAGGAAGCACTATGGTCAGTGGCATTGAGAGTTGTGGTGTAGTTTGTGTAGCTTGTGTCTGTTGGTCTTGTATGAACTGTGTGCTTTGTGACATCTCAGGCTGCTGTAATCTGATTTAGGCTCAAGCCAAAAACATACCAGATCCATATTGAGCGTGTTCAGTATTTGTTCAGTAGAGCAGCATTAGGTATCTCATACAGGATGTGTATTTGGAGCGTGGCAGCAGCATAGTGCGGCCCCGGTCAGCTGGGCTCAGTATAGAGGAAACAACATGCTCAAAACAGGTTGTTTCGCCTTACTGTGGTGTATTTCCTGCTAATCTGGATATAATTCAGTGACCGCTGAGCCTCTACTATATGTGGAAAAAGCAACGTGATTTTACAGTTTCGGTTTTTGCAGGTTTACTTGTGTTTATTAAAGTAAACTATGTTCCTTTATGAAGTGCTGTTACCTTTAGACAGAGTTAGCAGTTAAAAGTCCTGTTGGGGTCCAAATGGTTCAGGGATTGTCCATCAGATTGTTCTGTGTTATTGATAAATTCATAACCAGGAAGTATTTCTCATCAACAAGGACTGATACACAGTCGTGAGTTTACATACAGTGTTTAATTTTGAAATACCGAATGATATGCATGGTTTTTGTGCTTGACTCTCTATCTGGAACGATTTTCTCTGTGTGGATTGACGTGCATTGGAGGCGTAGAGCAGCAAAAAAAGACTCGCCGCGTATCTTTAGCAGTGCTGCTCTCGATACGGTGGTGGATGGAGCGTCCTGTATGCTTTGCTGCATTGATTAGAATGGCAACCTATTTTCTGCGTGATACGTGACACTGCTGCCACACTCCAAATACGCATCCTGTATGTTTTAGCCTTTAGGTGAAACAGGTTTATGAATGTTAGAGGAGCCTGTCCTCTTATTTTAGTATCTCTAACCTCTTATACCTAAACAGCATCACTTGAAACTTTAGACCAGGTTTTTTTTGTTTGCAGTGATTTCCTCTCTGAAATCAGACCCACAATCTGAAAATCTTTGGCTGATATCCTCTTGCATTCGAGGTTTGCGAATAATGTCAATGAAGCAACTTTGATAAACTGATACCTTGTCTGGGTGGTAGGGCTGTTAGTTATCAGGCTTTTCTCTACTGGATTCATCTGCCTGTCGGGGTGCAGGGGCAGACACCCTCTCTGATTTGAAGAGCAGGTTGGAGCTGGTTTAGGTTTGAACCATCACTTAGTTTATTATGCTACAGGCTCAGACTGCTATCGACTTAGGGCCAATCCCAATCCGGCTGTTAAGCTGTGACGTAGCCGCGTTCTCTTTTTCCACTTCCGGGTCCAGCGGAGTTGTTGTTATAATGCCTCAGTGCTATGTCCCTTGCTGCTTAAACTGATCAGAGACAAAAACAGCGACTAAACTATCATTCTACAGATTTCCTCCCAACAACAAAGACAACAAAATAACTTCATCATTTCTGTATTGTATCCATAGACTGTATACAGTCTATGATTGTATCACAAACACACGGCATCACATCCATTCATTCATTGAATTCAAAGCTTCGCGCACCAAAGCCTCGGGGTGTCTTTGGTTTATCGTTTTACATTTATAGTCCACTTGATGGCGCAATAGAGCAAATGAAGCACGATCATGAAGCTTCGGCCCATGAGGCGAGTAATTGGATGGAAAGCTTCGATGCTTCATGAGGCTTCATCTCGCCATCACTAAAATTTACGTTAATAAATCTATCCGAGTTGAAAGCTTTAAGTCCCTTTTTAACTCTGAGTGGTTCCCTTCTGAAAAAGGACGTTATTTTAAAGAGATTCACGGGTTCCGCCATTGTTGTTTTGAATGGAGAGTGAATGGAGGCTGATTCCCCATGGACCCAGAAGCCGCTCCACTCACAAAATGACGTCACGCTTAACAGCCGGATAGTCACTCTTTCCCCTTCCCCTTCCACTTCGTCTTACCCCTTTGTCTACCCCTTCCCCTTGACCCTGAAAACAGAGTGAAAACAAGCTCCTAAGAAACGAGGCGCCACTCGATTCCTGCTACATCATCATACTTTGCTGTTTGCAGTGAATTTGCCACCCGAGTCTGACATCAGTGTAGCTATCAATAGCTATAGTCTCATAAGCTAGCTCATCATAACTCACGATTTTAAAACGCAAACAATTCAAAACATCACTAATATTTGCACTACTGAAAATTGTTAATGACCTTAGGTGCAACTTGGACTCACACAAGCTTACAGTCCTTGTGCTACTGGATCTAAGCGCTGCTTTTGATACAGTAAATCACACAATTCTTTTAAATAGACTTAGGCACCTTGTAGGCCTCTCTGGTACTGCCTTTCAATAGTTTAACTCCTATCTCACATATCGAAAGTTTCTTGTAAGTTTGGACATATGCTCTTCAAAGATTCATAGCATTAAATGTGGTGTGCCCCAAGGCTCAATTTTAGGCCCCATACTTTTTAATTTATATATGCTCCCACTGGGAGATATCACCAGGACGCATGGTATCACTTTTCACAGCTATGCTGATGACACATAGCTCTACATATCCATGTCTCCTGATGACACAGGGCCAATCGATGCCCTTTTTAGCTGTATCCTAGACATTAAATTCTGGATGGCAGAAAACTTCCTACAGCTCAACCAGGACAAAACTGAGGTTTTAATTATCGACCCTAAGGCTCAGGGAGAGAAACTTTGGACAAAACTGAAAACCCTGTCTTTAATTCCATCAAATCAGGTAAAGAATCTGGGCATCATCTTTGACTCTGAGCTGACTTTTATTCCACATATTAAAAATATAACAAAAACAGGGTTTTATCATCTAAAGAATATAGCCAGAGTCCGCCCCTTTCTCTCCCGGACTAACACAAAGACGCTAATGCATGCTTTTATCTCTAGTCGTCTTGACTATTGTAATGCCCTGCTTTCTGGTCTTCCAAAAAGAAACATTGCAAGTTTATAACTGTTGTAAAACTCAGCAGCACGTGTGCTGACGAGGACCAGAAGGTGGGCACATATTACACCGGTTTTAAAATCACTGCATTGGCTCCCTGTGTGCTCTAGGATTGACTTTAAGGTCCTTTTAATGGTTTTTAAATGTCTTAGGGGTCCTGGACCGTCTTATCTTTAAGATTTGCTTTTACAACATGAACCCTCGCAGACCCTGAGATCCGCTGGCACTGGCCTTTTAATAGTCCCCAAAGTGAGAACACAAACTTACGGTGAGGCATCTTTCCAGCACTATGGCCTCCATCTTTGGAATAGCCTGCCGGAGGACCTTGGGGCCGCAGAGAATGTTCATATTTTTAAAAGCAGGCTCAAGACCCACCTTTTTAATTTGGCTTTTAACTAATGTATTTATTTAATGTATCTTATATTTAATCTATATTTTTATCCTATTTTGATCTTATTTTATTTCAATTATATATTTTAGTCCTCATTTTACATGTTATGTTTATTCGATTTTTTCAATTATTTTTAAATGATATTTTAGCTATTTATTAGTATTTTATAATTTTATCTAGTTTAATGTTTTTAGCTGGTTTAGTTTATGTTTTTATTGCATTTCTCCAGTGTTTCCTCAGTAAGGGGGCCACCTGCACTGGAGGCTGTGACTGGCTCTGTCTAGGGTTTCTCTGCCTTGCGATGTGCACTCAGCTCGGCCAGGTGGTGGTCTGCAGCAGTGCTTGCTGCTGTGGGCCTCTTACTGGCCTGTAGCAGGGTGCGCACCCAAGTGGAGGTGTCTGGCCCTGGGCCGTGAGCGGCCTCCTGACGTTTCCTGACTTGGCTCCACTGTACTCAGCCGCATGTTTTTAAGATAACATTATCTGTGTGTGTGTGTGTGTGTGTGTGTGTGTGTGTGTGTGTGTGTGTGTGTGTGTGTGTGTGTGTGTTGGGGTGGGCTCTCGGTGAGGGTTGGGAGGGTGGGGTGGTGGGCTGGATATGGGGGGGCTCATTGTTTTAAATTGTAAAGCACTTTGTGCTGCATTTCTTTTTGCCTGAAAAGTGCTATATAAATAAAGTTTGATTTGATTTGATTTACATGGAGTAGCAAAGGATTGAATATCTAAGTGTCCCTACTGTATAAATCATATCAAAATCTTATCCCTGGCTTTCAAGTGAGGTCCTGGTATGTCTTCGTTTTAAGGGCTGTGTACCCCTTGACCTGAGCCCTTTCCTTTAACCTTACAGAGAACTGGGACACCCCTTCGCTTGATGTGAACGCGCAAAACTGAGGGCTAAGGGGTACAAATGGGGATTGACTCCTTAGTCTCCCCAGGGAACTGGTACATTAAGCTCCTGTTTTGCCCTCTCTGTCCTCTAGTTTATGTGTCACATACTTTAAATCTGTAAGTCCTTTTTAAGTCCCTGACCACAGATCTTTCTGGGTGTCCTTAAGCTCCCTTGTCTTGTTGGTTCCTCTGGATTGCTGCTGCAGATATCCTGCTGATGTGGACCTGCTGACTTTCTCACATTTATTACTACCATTGTAAAGTTAATGTTAAACTGTGTTAGACACTTTGCACCTGCTGTTTTTGTAGAGTGGTTTGGTGTGACGTCTTATGTTATATAAATTTAATTTTTCTCTTGACTGGCTGACCTAAATTGATGGGGCCTTGTTTCTTACATGTTACAGTATAAGAACTTCTGTGAGTATAGTTTTGGATAGGATAAATGTGAAATTAGCGAAGTCAGCGGCCATAGTTCAGTGTCTCCCGGGGGCCAGAGCGGGCGACATCGAAGGTAGTTTAAAACTGCTGGCAAAGGCTAAACGTAAATTCCGTAAGATTGTAATACATGTCGGCGTAAATGACTCCCGACGCCGCCAGTCGGAAGTCACTAAATTGAACGTGGAATCGGTGTGTGAATATGCCAAGACCATGTCGGGCTACGTAGTTTTCTCTGGTCCCCTGCCCGATCAGACAACTGATGAGATGTGTAGCCGTATCTCATCATTCAACCGCTGGCTGTCGAGGTGGTGTCCACAAAACGGCGTGAGCTTCATTGATAATTGGAAGTCATTTTGGGGCAAGCCTGGTCTGATTAGTCGGGACGGCATTCATCCCACCCGAGATGGAGCGGCCCGTTTATCCAGAAATCTGGCCGATTTTATTAATCCGAACCACTGACAATTCAAAGCAGAGATCAGGGAGCAGGGCCGCAGTCTTACACGCCCCCCTGCGCCTCTTTTAGAGCAGCCTCCCAGCCACTACCACTTATACACAGAGACAAGGGAGCAGAGCCGCAGTGTAAAACGCCCTTCTGTACTCCCTTCAGAGCAGCTTCCAAGCTACAATCAGCTTGACTTAGAAATCAGGGAGCAGAGCCACAGTGTAAAACGTCCCTCTGTACTCCCTTCAGAGCAGCTTCCAAGCTTCTCTCAGCTTGACATAGAAATCAGGGAGCAGAGCCACAGTGTAAAACGTCCCTCTGTACTCCCTTCAGAGCAGCTTCCAAGCTACTCTCAGCTTGACATAGAAATCAGGGAGCATAGCCACAGCTCTACACGTTCCTCTGTACTTTTGTTAGAGCAGCCTCCTAGCTACTGTCACTTTAATATAGAGACTGTGTCTGTCCCTCGTACTCGGCTCTCAAATTCTAACCGATCAATTAAAAAAGGAGTAAATAACAAGAACCTTACTAGAATTAAGACTGTTAACATAGCTGAACCAAGTACTAGTAAGATAAAATGTGGCCTACTGAATATAAGGTCTCTAAATTCAAAATCTGTGTTAATAAATGAACTAATCTCTGATCATCGCATTGATTTACTCTCCCTAACCGAAACATGGCTGCGTAAGGATGAATATGTAAGTTTAAATGAATCCACTCCTCCTAGCCACCTAAACTTTCACATTCCTCGAGACTCTGGCCGAGGTGGTGGAGTTGCAGCTATCTACAATTCCAGTCTTAGAATTAACCCAAGACCAAAACTAGATTATAACTCTTTTGAAAGTCTCGTTCTCAGTCTCCCGCACCCAGCCTCAAAGTCCATGAGACCACTGGTATTTGCTATAGTTTACCGCCCTCCGAGCCCATACTCTGAGTTTTTGTCAGAGTTCTCAGAGTTCCTATCCGAATTAGTCCTTCTCGCAGATAAAGTCATCGTCGTCGGTGACTTTAATATTCACATAGATGTGGAAAATGATAGCCTAAGCATTTCTTTTCGGTCCTTGCTAGATTCAATTGGGTTTACACAGTGTGTACATAGACCTACGCACTGCTTTAACCACACTCTCGATCTCGTCCTGGCTTATGGCCTCGAAACCGATGCCCTGTTAGTCAGCTCATTAAATCCTCTATTATCTGATCACTGTCTAGTAACTTTTGAATTTGTGCTTTCAGGTTACTCTCCTCACAACAAATTCGTGCTAACTAGAAGGTTGTCTGAAAATGCTGTTACTAAGTTCAAGGAGGTAATTCCGTCTGCTCTAAATTCTGTAGTTGAGAAAAACTTTACTGATAGCTCATATTTAAACATCAGTCCCTTGCAACTCGACCAGTTTGTTGATGATACCTCAGGCACACTGCGATCAGTTCTAGACTCAGTTGCCCCTCTTCGACAGAAAACTATTACACGCGAGAGGCTAGCCCCGTGGTATAATGCTGAAACCCGTGAGCTGAAACAGTTATTAAGAAAATGTGAAAGGATTTGGCGCTCCTCCAAAACAGCTGAAGCTCGTTTTCTCTGGCAGGAATGTCTCGATAAATATAAGAAAGCCCTACGACGTGCTCGGACAACCTACTACTCGTCTCTTATTGAGGAAAATAAGAATAACCCCAGATATCTCTTCAGCACTGTAGCCAGGCTGACAGACTGTCCGAGCACCACTGAACCATGTATCCCATTAGCCCTTAGCAGCAATGACTTCCTGAGCTTCTTCAATGATAAAATCTTAAAAATAAGAGGTAAAATTAGTAACCTATTGACTCCATCAAGTGTCTCTCTCTCAGATAACCCTAAAAATGTTGAGGAGCCCCTAAGGCCTCTGGTGCACCTTAGTAATTTTGTACCTATTGACCTTCCTGAGTTAAAGTCAGTGGTGCTAGCAGCCAAACCATCGACGTGTCTCTTAGACCCAATTCCATCTAAATGCTGAAGGAAACTCTTCCTTTGATTAGTACGTCCCTGCTCAAAATGATTAACACGTCTTTATTAACAGGATATGTTCCCCAGTCTTTCAAGACTGCATTGATTAAGCCTCTCCTTAAAAAACCTACTCTAGACTCAAGCTCCCTAGCTAACTATAGACCAATATCCAACCTTCCTTTTATTTCTAAAATCCTAGAGAAAGTTGTTGCGAATCAACTCTGTGATTTTCTCCATAACAATGGTTTATTAGAGGATTTCCAGTCTGGGTTTAGAACCCATCACAGCACAGAGACTGCTCTGCTAAAGGTGTCAAATGACCTACTCATGGCCTCAGACAATGGTTTTCTCTCTGTTCTAGTCCTGTTAGATCTTAGTGCAGCATTTGACACAATTGACCACTCCATCCTGCTTCAGAGACTAGAACAATCTATAGGCATAGCAGGATCAGCTCTCTCCTGGTTTAAATCGTACCTAACAGATCGATCCCAGTTTGTCAATGTAAATAATAAATCCTCTGCACACACCAAAGTCTGCTACGGTGTGCCGCAAGGGTCAGTGCTCGGTCCAATCCTCTTCACCCTGTATATGATTCCGCTGGGTAAAATTATGAGGAAGTATTCGATTAATTTCCACTGTTATGCAGATGACACCCAGCTATACCTATCCATAAAGCCAGAGGAAGCAGGCCAGGTTGCCAGGTTAGAAGCCTGCCTCAAAGATATAAAATCCTGGATGACCAATAACTTTCTAATGCTCAACTCAGACAAAACTGAAGTTCTGGTCCTCGGTCCTAAACACCTTAGAGAGGCGTTCTCTAGTAATTTAGCTACATTTGATGGTATCAGCCTGGCATCCAACCCCACTGTGCGTAATCTAGGAGTTGTATTTGATCAGGATTTATCTTTTAGCTCCCACATTCAACAAATTTCTAGGACAGCCTTTTTCCACCTGCGCAATATCTCAAAAATTAGACGCATATTGTCTCAGAGCGATGCAGAAAAACTAGTCCATGCCTTTGTTACCTCTAGGCTGGATTACTGTAATTCTCTCCTATCAGGCTGCTCTAGTAAGTCATTAAGGACTCTTCAGCTGGTCCAAAATGCAGCAGCTCGGGTATTGACTAGAACTAGTAGAAGGGAGCACATCTCCCCTGTTTTAGCCTCTCTTCACTGGCTCCCTATTAAATATAGAATTGAGTTTAAAATCCTCCTTGTGACATATAAAGCGCTTAATGGCCAGGCGCCATCATATCTCGACGAGCTAGTTATACCGTACTTTCCATCTAGACCGTTACGCTCACAGTCTGCAGGTCTGCTCGTTGTACCAAATGTCTCTAAAAGTAGTGTTGGAGGAAGAGCTTTCAGCTACCAGGCACCTCTCCTCTGGAATCATTTACCGCTCGAGGTTCGGGGGGCAGACACACTCTCAACTTTCAAGAGTAGACTTAAAACGTTCCTCTTTGATAAAGCCTATAGTCAGGGCTGATTTGAACCAGCTCTTAGTTATGCTGCTATAGGCCTAGACTGCCGGGGCTATCTGGCACACTGAGCTAGAGTCTGTCTCTATCTCCTCTTTAGATCTTTATGTCCCATATAAGTCACTGACCAGTTTTCTGTCTCTCTGAGTGTCTCTGAGTCTTTTAGCTGCCACTGGACTAATGCTGCAAACGGTCTGCTGCGGAACTGCCTGACCCCAGCTGCATCCATCCTGGGCCCTGAGCTCCTCCATCTCTTTGGCTCCTCTGGACCGTTGCTACAGAGACCCCCCCCCCCCCCCCCCCCGGCCCTGAGCTCCTTCTTCTCTCTGATTCCTCTGGACTGTTGCTGTTACTGTTACTGCAGACATGAACATCAGCCTCACTGTCATTATTGACATACAAAATAGAACTGACTACGATTAAGCCTGCTAACTGTAATCACACTCAATTAATTCAACATTGTCCATTATCACTCATATCCTAAACCTGTAAACTGAACGTCTTTTGTTTCACCATTACATGAGCTGTTGTCGTTGTTGCTGTTGTTCCTGCTGCCTCCTGTCTCTCTCTCACCCTCGTTCCCTACTCTCTCTCCCTCCCCCTCCCTCTCCGTACTAATTCTCTCTCGCCTTTCCCCTATCTTGCTGTCTCTCTCCCTTCCCCTGTCCTCTCCTCCTCTCCCCTCTTCTCTCTACATTCCACCCCAACCCAGCAGCGGCATGGTGGCTGTCTAGCATGAGTCTGGTCCTGCCCAAGGTTTCTGCCTGTTAAAAGGAAGTTTTTCCTTGCCACTGCTACTCATGTTAGTTGAGATGGGCCAAAACCCATCTTAGGTTGGTTCTTGATCATCAAACAATGAGCGCGGTCCTGACCTGCTCTTGTTCCTTGAAAAGCGTCTTGAGATGACGACTGTTGTGAATTGGCGCTATATAAATAAAATTTGATTGATTGATTTGATTGATAGGGAACCCTCAGCAGAAGGGTTAGTTTGTATCCTCAGTCTTGCAGGAAGAACATTTGCACTGTGTTACTGGGATTAAAATATGTCAGCAATATGGTGCCAAATTTTGCAAGAAAAAAAAAAACAAGATTAATTGCACAAGTCCATAAGATTTTCACACTGACTCTAACATCCCATGTACATACATCATCTTTGTGCTGACACAGCACCCATGAGCAACATTTTTCTGCTCAGAGGTGCAATATTGAAACCTGTGAGGGGGAGATTCAGTTTGAATGTGTGCAGAAATGGACTCAGTGTGATTGCTTCTGTGAGTAGAAAATATTATTATTCTGCTCTTATCAATTTGTCAAATCATAAAGTAGTAGCACTGTATCACTGTAACCAGCTCAATTAAGATATATCACTGTGCTCACTCATGCACTGACACAAACTACTCTTGGATTGGCAAGTTAAATTTCTGCAACCAAAGCAAGACAGTGCAGGGAAAAACAAAACAATTTTATGGTAAGATCTTTCCTGCATTTGCTCAAAACGTAACCTTCAGAGAAATGCTAGACATAAGTGCTGTGCAGGCAGTGATGTAGTCTACATGATATGCAGGTATACAATGTATACCCAATAGAAAAGTATGGAAATTTTCTTATACCCACTAGGAAATGTGCAAAGCTGTGTAACAACCAAAGTTCTGACCACAACTTCACAGCTATATGCAGTAACTTTTTACTTTTTATAATTTTATAGCGTCTTCAATTCAGGAAACTTTGAGGAACCTGACATTCTTAACTTTTAATTGTATAGCAGACACATTTGATCCAGCACTGTTCCCAGGATCCAGGATTATAAGAAAGGCTGAAGTGTCAGGACGGCAACGAATAAAGATCAAGCCTATATGGGTAAGGTCAGATTTATTGGTAACCCTTTCTTTTACAGTACACTTATTACCAGGTAATTACCTGGTAACAACATGAAATTATCTGGTAATTACAGATAACTAATAAGTCAATACTGTCTAGCTACCAGGTAGGTACCATGTAGCTACACGAAAATTATTCGTAATTATGTGGCAATAACCAGGTAATTACTATATGTTATAATAAGTGTTACAATGAAATTGCCTGGTAATTACATGGTAACAATTACCACTGATTACAATTAAGTAGTTTCCTGACTACCACCAAGTATTTACTTTGTAATTATATGGGTAAATTGGGTAATTATCAAGTACTTTCCTGCCAAATAGAAGGTCACTACCAGGTATGTAGTGTGTGATTGTATGGTAACAACGAGGAAGTACCCGTCATTACTGGGTATTTTGCTGACACCTAATAGGTATTTACTTGATAATTACCTGGTAGGTACTCAGGAATAATAGATTGTAGATCATTCCTGCCACTCGTATGGGGGCAGGTAGTATGAAGGTGACCATGTTAGGGTAAAAGAAATAACCAGGCATTTACTTGGTAATGAAAGATATTTACCTGTAAATACCATCTAATTACCTGGTATATTCACAGTAACTATCTAGTATTTGTTTATTGTTACCTGCCAATGACCCAGTATATATATTTGAAATTATTAGGTAATTACCATGTTATAAACAGGGAACTGTACTGCCAACGAAAGCATGTTCTGTTGGCATGATATTAGCCTTACCTTATCCAGTAATTGTAGATTTTAATCCTCCACGTAATTACCTGGTATTTACACAATAACTATCTGGTATTTATTTATCATTACCCGATTCTTACAAAGTAAATATTTTAAAAAGATCAGGT